GTTGTGGGGTTGTTAACCAGTGTCATAAAACAACATGTGTACTACTGTTTCATGAGAAACTATTTGTTCTGTAAGCCTTCACCTGAAGTACAATAAAATAAATAAATGAAAAAAAAAAAAGTTAGGAAGCTGGAAAGTAGATGGACAAGTAGAAACTGACCTAGCGGACCTGGGGGGCTGAATCCTGGTAAGTAGAGATGCAGCCCTGTTTGCCCTGTAGAACCCCCAGAAGGCCTAGGAATTGGCAGCACCAGGCACTTCTGTAAGCAGGGGCGAGGGTGGGACTCATAACTGCTGTTTCAGAAACGGTTAGACCCCACATCTTCTAATGTGTACAGCCTGGCATCAGCCCCTCTCCCACCTTGGCAGAGGACTGTAGGATTTTTCTATGGAGAGGGTTTCTGGATAGGCAGGCACTAGGGACAGTTGAGGGCAGTAGTACTGAACTCAAAACATGAGGATTAATGCTGTTGAGACACCCCGTCTTCTGCCACTTGGTTCCCAAAAGAGATTGCAGGATTCTTCTCTGGGAATCTGACTAGCCCAGGAGAAACAGCCCTGCTGTCAGGGACTCCCAAGGGAAACACATCAGCCAGATTGCCCCACAGCAGGGACCCCAGTCGACACACCCACGCATTTACAGAGAACTTCCAGTCAGCCTTTAGTATGAGCTGGCATCCAGTGGTCCCCAGACGTTTGGAGAAAGCATCTATAACGTGTAAGAGACCAAAACAACCAGAAAAAAAGAAACATTAGCGGAAACTGAGGCTCTGCAGGGAGCAGGAAACTTAGAAAAAACACTTACCATTAACATCCTCAGAGAATTCAGAGGAGAGAAATTACATCCATTAAACGAGACCTGGATGCCATAGAGGAACTCAGAGAACAACAAATAACTCTTAGATATTAAAAATTGGGTAGCAGAAATGAAAAACTTAAAGAAAGCTGAGGAAATACTCTAGCAAGTAGGAGAGACAAGAAGATTAGAGAACCAGTCTAGGAGTTCTAACATCTAGATAATAGGAGTTCCAGAAAATACAAAGAGAGAAACAGAGAAGTGGTAATCTGAACCAGGAGTCAGCCTTCCAGCTGTTTTTCAAAGTAGCATTTCATTAAAATACAGCCAGGAAAATATTGTTTCCGTATTGTCTATGGTTGCTTTAGCACTACAGCAGCAGAGTTGAGTAGTTATGACAGAGACTGTATGGCCCACAAAACCTAAAATATTTGCTATCTGGCCTGTTACAGAAAGCATTTTCAGACCCTTGATCAAAACAATTCAAGGAAATTTCCGGTGATGAGTTCTAGATTGAAAGGGCCCACTGAATGCCCATCATACTGGATGAAAAATGCCACACACACACACCAAGGCACATCATCATGAAATTTGAGAATAACGGGGCAGAAATTCTAAAAGCCTCTAAAGAGAAAAATCAAGAATCAGAAGAGCATTGGGCTTTTCAATACTGGAAGCTAAAAGATAGTGAAGGTATTTCTTTAAAAATTATAAGGGAAAAGGATTTCCAACCAAGAATTTTATGCCTAGCAAATCTGTCAATTAAAGTGTGAGGGGAGGCTAAAGCTAAATTAGTACATAGAAAACTCAGAGTACCAAAACCAAAATGACAACAATAAAAAATTTACTAATGTCAAGGAAAACAAAAAATTTAGACCAGAAAGAGAAAGTATGGAACAAGGTTTAACTGAATACCAATTAAATACTCAAAAGTACATAAACCCTGCAGAGGGATCTAACTAAAATCCTGAGATAGGGGCTACAGACACAGGAAGGGTGTACATGTAGTGGGGGCAGGCGAATAAGAACGGGGGTGGGATCCTCATCTAACAGGGAAATCAATAGAAAATAATCCCAAACTAAATGTCAAGAAGTAGTGATAAAGTGTACCAGAAGGATCAGTTAAAAGAGTTGTAGAGTGGGTGCCTCTGGGGTTTGGGAAATGGGAGGGGATGATGAAGACTGGGTACCACTGTTCTTTAAGACAAACCTTGTAGAACTATATTTGATTCTAAAATATGTGCATGTGGAACTTTGACAAAAATTAAAATTAAATTCTGTAAATGGTCAAGTTATCCATTTCCCTATTAAAAGGTATTCAGGAAAAAGTTGTAGTTGAAAATTCTTTATTATAGAGAAATTAAGTTTTTTTTTTTTTTGGTAAAATAGCCAAGTTCAACAAGGGAACAGAAGACTAAACCCACTCAGAATAGTATCCGAGATCTCAGAGGGCTCGGGCTTTCCCCAGATCTGGTAAGATTTCCTGATCTCCTGGTTTCAGTGTGATCTTACATATCTAATACAAATTACTCCTCCATGACAGGACTTTTGTTGTCTTGGCCTGCTTTTGATCATGACTGATGGTGGAGAAAATAGGTAGAGCTCTGAACTGGGGCTTTATTTTACAAGATTTCCTTAATGGGCATGTGTGAGTTCTTGTACTGTCCATGCCTTACCTCCCTCTCATGCCTTCATTTCTTCCTTCCTACCTTGGAATAGTAATGAAGGAGGAAAACCCCAGTTAGCTCTTGTGGTTCATTAATCTGTCTGTTTAATGTACTGCCATTCTCTTGGAATTTGGGGTTTAGGAATTTATGTTCTGAAAATAAGTGTTACATTTTCGTAGTTTACTTGCGCTCATTGTTAACATTTTAATCCATCTTAGCAATGCAGTGTCTTTTGATTTCATTCAGAAGTAAAACCCAACTTTGCCATCCTTTCTTTCTACCTAAACTGACTTGTTTTATTTACCGCTAGGTTGTGTGCAGGTGCTCAAATCCTCTGGACACATCTGTGAAAAAGAAAATATCGATGTACTGCCACGTTGAACCTGAACAAGTAAGTAGCAGTTCAATCTCCATGTAGATCTTTTTTGCTTCTGATTGTCTTTGAGTCTCATAACAAGTTTGATGAGGCTTGTTGTTTTGTAGTTTGAGATGGTAGACAGTTCCTGGAAGACCTGATACCACTTGCTCTATGATTCAACGTTATTTCTTTCGCCTCCCTAAACATACCTTTACCTCTCCTGCCTCTTTTCTCCTTGTTCCCTGTACTTTATGCTTCTGCCATGCTAAATGTCTTTTGCACATGCTAATTTCTGTGAGAAATCAGTATCCCCTCTCCTTGTTGGTCTAACAATCTCTTCTTCATTTTCATCCTTCAGGGCCCAGCTAGGCCATGGCATTTTTAGAAAAGCTTTACTTGCCAAACCTGCTCGACCTCAAACCTCAGAGTTAATCGCTTTATTCTCAAGGCTGCCTGTGTGTCTCATACATGCTGGTGATGAGCTTATCGTACCAGTACGAGTAGTAGTCGAGTTGATTCTGACTCATGGCTGATTTTTCAGAAGTAGATCGCCAGGCCTTTCTTCCAAGTGCCTCTGAGCAGACTTGAACCACCAGCCTTTTCGTTAATAGCTAAGTGCTTGACTGTTTGCACCACCCGGGGACAGAGCGTATCATACTGCGCCTTAATGTTTGTGGTGTCTGTGTTTGTCTTCCTAACAGACTGAGCTTCTTCAGGGCCAAGACCACCTTATCAACTGTGTAGCTGGTGCCAGTTGTCTAAGGTGTTGTAGGCTGTCACACATATTTTCGTCTTTTTGTTACCTGTGCAAATGGAGGAGACCTGTGATACAGGAAATCCAAAATGTTGGAACCCGTAATGTATCTAAGCAGGGTGCTTGGTATGAAAATTCTAGGGAGTGATAAGCTGAGGTGGTGGTGTTGGTCAGGTTTAGTTGAAGGAGTGTGGAAGGGAAGCTAAGGTCAAGGCATTTGGAGACTAGGTTATTGGATATTTAAATTGTACTGTTAAATTTCCTAATGTGGTGGTGTCTTTGTTAGTGCGGCTGTAACAGAAATACCACAAGTGGGTGGCTTTAACAACTAGAAATTTATTTTCTCACAGTTTAGGAGGCTAGAAGTCTGAATTCAAGGTGCCAACTCTAGGGGAAGGCTCTGTCTGCTCTGAAGGAAAATCCTTGTCTCTTTCAGATTCTCTTCTTCAGTTCCTCAGTGATCTTCATGTGGCATCAGTCTTTCTTCATTGGTGCTTCCATGCTCCTGTGCCTGATCTGCTCTTTTATATCTCAGAAGTGATTGGCTTGAGATACACCCTACACTGACACGGCCTCCTTAACATAAATCCCTATACCCAAATGGGGTTACAGCCACAGGTGTAAGGGGGAGGATTTATAACACATAATTTTGGGGGACACAATTCAATCTATAACAGGTGGTTCTCAAACTTGACTGTACACTGGAATCACTTGAGGAGCTTTAAAAAATACTGTTTTCTCATCCAGATTCCCTGAGGGACCAAATTACTGAGCTGAGGGCTGGGGACCATGGTCTTGGGGAACATCTAGCTCAATTGGCTAACAAAGTTTATAAAGAAAATGTTCTACATCCTACCTTGGTGAGTAGCGTCTGGGGTCTTAAAAGCTTGTGAGCGGCCATCTAAGATACTCCACTGGTCCCACCCCGTCTGGAGCAAAGGAGAATGAAGAAAACCAAAGACAACAAGGGAAAGATTAGTCCAAAGGACTAATGAACCACAACTACCATGGCCTCCACCAGACTGAGTCCAGCACAACTAGATGGTGCCCTGCTACCACCACTGACTGCTGTGACAGAGATCACAGGGTCCTGGATAGAGCTGGAGAAAAATGTAGAACAGAGTTCAAACTCACAAAAAAAGACCAGACTTATGATCTGACAGAGACTAGAGAAACCCTGAGATTATGGCCCCCAGACACCCTTTTAACTCAGTGCTGAAGTAACTCCTGAGGTTCACCCTTCAGCCAAAAACTTGACAGGCCCATAAAACAAACAGTAATACACGTACCTCAACCATGTATATGAGACTAAATGGGCACACCAGCCCAGGGGCAAAGATGAGAAGGCAGGAGGGAACAGGAAGGCTGGATGAATGGAAATGGGGAACCCAAGATCTAGAAGGGGAGAGTGTTGACATGTTGCGGGGTTGGCAACCAATGTCACGAAACAATATGTATATTACTTGTTTAATGAGAAACCAGTTTGCTCTGTAAGCCTTCATCTAAAGCATAGTAAAAACAAAAACAAAAAAATCCAATGTCTGCCTCCCACCCCAGGGATTCTGATTTAAGTGGCCAGGGGTGCAGGGTAGACTTTGGGTTTTTATAAGCTCGCCAAGTGGTTCCAGTGAACAGCTGAGACTGACAACCACTGTTCCTGTGCCAGCACGCGTTCTCGGGACAGATCCTACTTGGCCATGAGGTTTTTTTTTTTTTTTTTTTTAACTACCATTTGTGGTTTGGTTTGTGACTTTTTACATTCTATTCTTTTTGAGTTGGTTTTGGTCATTTACATTTTGCTAGAAATTGGTCTTTCTTCTGTTTTCAAATTGAGAATGGATATTTTCCCAAGGATATACAGCCAGTAGGAGGCTATAAGGCCAGTTAGTTTTTGTTCATTTTTATTAAATAACCTTTTTCCTTTTTTTTAAACAGGTCATCTGTGTCCATGATGTCTCATCCATCTACCGAGTCCCCTTGTTATTAGAAGAGCAAGGGGTTGTAGATTATTTTCTTCGAAGACTCGATCTTCCTATTGAGAGGCAGCCACGAAAAATGCTGATGAAGTGGAAGGAGATGGCTGACAGGTATGCCTCAGTGAGGAGCTGGGGGACAAGCCTTACTTCTCTTGCTTGTAAGGCCTCGGGGAATTCAACTCTTGCTGTTGCACTTCAGCATTTCTGCTGTCAACACATGTTGGAAAAGGTCTTAATGGTAAGAGATGTTATGATTGTTAGAAGGACTCTTAGCTGTCATGAAGTTGCTTCATGGATGAGGGAATCCTGTTAGAGCTGGGGCCAGGTCCCAGGTCTCCAGACAGCAAGTTCAGATTACTTTCTATCACATTTGTCTCTCATCAGCTGGAAAATCAATTCAAACAGGCGTCCCAGTGCAGTGGGCTAGCGCGCACACCCGAAGCCCCAGACGAGCAGGCTCTGCTTTCTGGGTTTACCGTGGCTGGAGCACTCTGTGTTTGGGAACATGCTGCACACCCATACCAGAGGTGTCCGGTCTTCTCTTACTGAGAAGAGAAAAAAAAAAAGCCATTACCGCGGAGTCGTTTCCAACTTGTGGCAGTTGTCTGTGTGTCATAGTAAAACTGTGCTCCATAGGGTTTTCAATGGCCGATTTTTTTTTTTTCTCAGAGGTAGATCGCCAGGCCTTTCTTCTGGGTGGATTCTAACTGCCTACCTTTCAGGTAGCAACGAGTATTTAACCATTTGCAGCACCCAGGGATTCCCTTCTCTCATTATTGCTGCCCAAACTCATTACTTCAAGGACTGTCCCCACTCCACTTTCCTCTTTTAAAGCTCTGTGATGCCCTCATGTTGCCTCATCATCCACATCAGAGATCTGCACGCGGTGTTTCAGAGCAGTGCGGGTGCCTGGTTTTAGTTGCTAAATTACTATGATGATAATAAGCACTTGGGGAAGGAGCACTCCTTCCATTGCTCTGACCTGTGCCTGTTCGGTCTTTGTCCATTTACATGCATATCTTTATGAAGCTACAAAAATGGCACACAGTTTTGTGATCTTTTTTTATAAAACATTACAAGCATTTTGCTCTGTTACTAATTATACTTCATAATTACCACTTTTAATGAGTATAGAATATTCTATTATGTGGCTGCCCCATAATTTATTTGACTGTTCGTTTCTTTTGTAGGCACTTAGGTTGTTGACGGTTTTTCAGATTCTATTTTCTGTTAAATTTTGTTCATGTTCTACCTTGTTCCATAAAGAATTTGAGATGATTTGCTGTTGGAAGTTTGGTGCTGTAATCATTTATGTATGTAGTTGTTATTTTTAACCCTTTGGACTGTTTTATACCATTTGGATAAATTCCTACATGTTGAATTCCTGAACTGAAAAACACAATGGCTTGTATGACTCTTAGTATATGTTACTCAATTTCTTTTTAGAAGGAACTGGGTAGTGTAACAGTTTCTACACCTGTCAGCATTTAAATGTTCCTACTTTTTGAGATTTTTGGTTGATTTAAGGGTTATAAGATACATTTTCTTTTAATTTGTATTTCTCTTGATTTACTAGCTGGGCTAAATCATTTTCTTTATATTGGTTTACCAATCACATTAACTCTTGTGAATTGTCTCTTCATGCCTGTTAATTTTTTTTACCCTTAGAGATTTTTTTTTTTAACCAATTTGTATGAAAAATTTTGAACTAGTCTCTATAACAGGTTCTGAAATCCTTCTTTAAAAGCCTGCCATGTTGATCTGAAAATTGCTTCCAGTTTACTGGTCTGTGCATAGAACTCAGTTAATATCCACTCCCATTATATTCTTCCCAATGTGTTTGTCTTCTTAAAAAGCAAGTTTGATCTCATGAGGTTGTGTACATTCTAAGTAAATGGGTGTTTTTTGACCGGTGTTTGGTAGATATGATCGCTTGCTGGAGACCTGCTCTATTGCCCTCGTGGGCAAATACACCAAGTTCTCTGACTCGTATGCCTCTGTCACTAAAGCTCTGGAGCACTCTGCACTGGCCATCAACCACAAATTGGAAATCAAGGTGAGGAGGGATGGCGCGGGTGCAGCCCAGGGGCCAGCAGGGAGGCAGTCTCCATACTGGTGGATGCTGTGTGCATTTTTGCTTCATACTTTTGAGCTCAGAATTTCTTCTTAGGGATAAAAAGGTTTGTGGTTGGCTCCTGACTTTAAGACGGTGGTATGGCATTTTCAGGAAAGGATGAAGGGGAGGCATGGTCAGAGTAGACACTGAGAGAGAGTGAATGCTTGTATCTGAATATCAGGGACCAAATAAAATCACCTGTGGAAATGGGTCAGAGGCACGTTGCACGGTTGAAGGCACTGCCTAGAAACCATTCTAGATGCCTAGTGACTCTGAGGCCACACCTTTGAGGCCTTGAGTCTTTGAGATGCTTTGGGTTCCCCTTCTTAACCTGTGCTGGTGCCATTTTCCTCATCTGTAAGGTGGGAGTAATAATATTCATCCCATAGATGGGTGAGCTTTCTCTGAAATGTGTGTCAGATCACCCAGCTTGTGCCTGGAACGTGGGCAGCACTCAGTCAGTAGTAGTTCTTATGTTCTGGTCTGTAAAGCGGTGGGCAGCTGCTGAGCTGTGGAATGTGAGGTCAGTGGCCCTGCCGGTCTCTACAGAAGGCAATAGAGTGTTGAAGTTCAGAGTGTGGACTCTGGAGCCAGACAGCCCAAATTCTGGCTCTACCCCTTATGAGCTGTGTGACCTTGGGCAAGTTACTGCACCCTCTTTGTGCCTCAGCTTCCTCATCTTTAAAAAGAGATAGTGATAGTACCTTCCTTTCGGGGATGACTGGGGTGTGTATGTACATTTGACAAAACTCACAGAAGTGCCCACTTAAAATGCTTGTTTTTTATTGTATGTAAAATTATACTTGTGTAAAATTGGAAAAAAGATTTTAAAAATCTGTGTCGGAGATGCAGTGGGGAGAGTGTCTCTTGGACAGTGAACACTTGAGAGCTGATTCCAGTGGCTTAGCTGAGACGGGAGCCTAAGCTGACCATGTGTGCAGCAAATAGAGTGCTAGATTTGGCAGTCAGATGATTTTCAAGGAAACGCTTGTATTTTAAAATATAAGAAAGATTTTAAAATTTATTTTAAAATTATAGTTAAATTTAAACATTAAAATTATTGTTTTAAAACTAAGGTAGATGAAATATTGATGGTAATTATTTTAAAATTGTGAAAGAATGTGGCTCGGGAGTCATGAGTCTGCTTCTTCCTCCCCTGTCTGACCAACCCCCCCAGTACATAGACTCTACCGACCTGGAGCCGAGCACCTTACAAGAAGAGCCTGTCCGCTATCACGAAGCATGGCAGAAGCTCTGCAGTGCTCAGTAAGTCATGTTCTCTGTCTCTGGTTTCCTGTTTTTATTTTATTTTTTTATATGGGAGAAGTTCAAACTCAACTTTAAAATGGACAAGCTTGTGAACTAATGTGGTTGTCATGGAATTTTGGGTGGAATGAAATATCAATTAGGAAATCGTGTCCTCTTCCGGACTCCAACTGTTTGACCATTCATATGAGATCATTGTGTCCCAGAAGTAAGTAATCTACTTGTTTAAATATTTTTAATTATTGAAAAGACTATATACTGTATGATTTAAGCCTTAAAAAAATACAGCTTACCAATATAGTTGAATATGAAGAAAACTTGTCCTGATTTTATTGGTATACTGTGCTCTATGTGTCGACTGATAAGGCTTATTTAAAGATTTCCCATCCAGAACATTTGATGAGTACCCATCAGTGACTCTCATAAATCATTTACTTGTGGCAGCTATTATTTATAATAGTAAAAAAATTAGGAATAGGTTTATTTTATTAATCAATTGAATGTTACGGACCCACTACAGCTATTACTGAGACTTGGTCAGTTTGGCAGACTGAGCTGGCGTGGAAGGTCCCCTTCCTGTTCCTATTCCAGCATGCTGGATAATAAAGGGGGGGCACTTAAAGCCAAGAGGTAAAATAAATGATATTAATATAAATTTAAAATTATGAAAGAATCAGTGCCTGGGGCAAACATTAATTGTGCAGTATATATATATTTTTATTATGTATACTGGTTTTTTTTTCCATTTGTTATAAGCATTTTCTAATGTTATTAAGAATCTATGCTTTTTTAAGTCCATAGTGTTTGCATACAGCTCATTGGCAGTTTTTAAATAACACAGTCCCAGCCACAAAATCTGTGGAGTAACTTCATGGCATGAGTGTCTTGGTAACATAGGTGTGTATTGCAAGCTGAACTGGTGGCAGGGGGAGCTGCCATGTGGTTTGTTCTGTTGTGCAGTGGAGTGCTGGTTCCAGGAGGGTTTGGTGTTCGAGGAACAGAAGGAAAAATCCAAGCAATCGCCTGGGCTCGAAAACAGAAAAAGCCTTTTTTGGGTAAGGAGCTATGCAGTGCACTCATCAGCCTGAGTAGAAAGAGCAAGAGAAGGTGCTACTTGGGTGCCCATATGTAAAACTGGAAGGCCACTGAAACAAACTATAGATGCCATCTTTTTAGATAGCAGCTAAGTGAAGCCGTTTTGGTTCTGTTTGGGAGAAATTCAAACTCACCTTTAAAATGGACAAGCTTGTGAGCTACATGCAGATGTCATGGAATTTTAGGTGGAATGAAATATCAATTAGGAAATCCTGTCCACTGATGGACTCCAACTATTTGACCATTTATGAGATCGAGTTTTTTAACCTCCTTACTTGGCACACTAGCTGACTGTAATTGGACAGCATGATTTAGGATGCTTCCTGGTGCTGTAGATTTTGATTTTCACCTTGATCAGTTGTGAGTGGGCACATAATGAGAGGTTTTCTTAACTTGAATTTTTACGTGCTGAAAAGGACATTGCTTATCTATAAAATGGAATAATTTTTCAAAACTTGAAAGCCCCGTATACACTTAGATCCAGTTTTTGGATCTGGTATAGATAACGCCTGACAGCAGGGAGTGATTGTTTATAGCAGGGAATGATGGGAGTGTGATCGTGATTGTAGTTCTGTGAACAGATGGGGCACAGAGCCCGCAGCAGGCTGGACAGAAATGTGCGAGCTGCCTTTTCAATGGAGCTTCTTTTGTTTTTGTCTCCACTCGGAAGGTGTGTGCTTAGGAATGCAGCTGGCAGTGGTTGAATTCTCAAGAAATGTGCTGGGATGGCAAGGTGAGTGTCCGTTTAAAAACTTGTGACTAATATTAGACTGCTTTAAGTTCCTGCTCACATTTTCCCTGGAAGGGCGGGAAGCCTGTTGCACATTGGGCAGTGGGAGCAGTGGAAGAGGACAGGCCTGCTTTCTCGGTGCCTCACTGGCTGCAGCACAGGGAGGCTACCGTGTTTATGGAGGCAAAGCCTGGCTCCTCAAAGCTGACAGCACAGGAAGGAGGAGCACAGCCGAGCACACAGCTAGCTTCTGCCCCTGAATCACTGTTGTTACCATGGCCACCATCACTGAGCCAGTGCCTGGTGAGAAAACCAGCCTAAGTGAGGTTCAGTCATTGTGAACTTGGGGTTTGGAGCTATCAGACCTGAGCTCAAATTCTGACTCAAAACGATAATTTATTTGGTGTTTTAGGCAGTTTACGTAGCCTTTTTGGGCCTTTTTTTTTTAATTTAAATATTTATGTTTTTGGTGAAAGTTTACACAGGTCTCCAATTGACAGTTTCCACACCAATTGTTCAGTGACATTAGCTACCTTCTTCACAATGTGTCAACATTCTCTTTAATTGTGTTCTGGTTGTTCCATTTCCAGGACTCTAGTTTCCCTGCCCCCTTATCTTCTCTGGGCCTTTTTTTTCTTCCCCTCTGTGTCAAATGGGGATAACAATGGCACCTACTTCATGTGGTTGTAATAAACAAGTGAAATAATTCATGTAAATAGTCGTCAGCACACTGCCTGGCAAATAGGAAATGCTCACTAATAACAGCTCTTCACCTAGCTAGCTGTGTATTACTGCATAACAGACCACCTCCAAACACAGCGGCTTCATACAACAGTGATTTAGTATTTCTCAGTGTTCTCGGGGTTGACCGGACTCGGTGGGACGGTTTCTCTGCTCCACGTGGTATATCTGCCATCACTCTTTCCCTGCATTCAGCCAGGGACATCACGATGGTCTTCCCATGCGGCAGTTCATCATTTGCTAGTTCAGCCCAAGCTGCTTCACAACATGGTGGTTAGCTTTCAAAATGACAGGCTCAACGTGCAGGCAAGTCATGTGGCCAAGCCCACTGTCAGTGTGGAAGGGGACTGCACAAGGGTGTGGTTCATGGGACCACTCATGTTATAGTCTGCCACAGCCCCTTTATTCTCTTTAGCCCAAATGACAAATACTAGATTTTTAGAGAGACCTTCTAAGTTCTAGGAGAACTGAAGGAATGTACTGGCTTTACAAAGTACAGGTGATTCTCTGTGGCCAGCTTGCTCTTAAGGCTGGGTTCGCCTTTTGCATTTTTTCTAAGGCTGTTTCACAGTACCCCTAAGGGGCCAGTAGCTCAGTTTTGTAGGCAGCGTGTCCTTTGGTTTCTGGTTTCTTAGCTCCTGGCAGGCACTGTCTTACCACCCAGCACCCCAGAGCTGGCCTTCCAGGCACCCTGGACCCTCCCCAGCCATGATTCTCCTGCCTCCCACTGAAGCTTACCCTTCAGTTGAGACTTGGCCCTGATTCAGGCCCAGGAGAGGAACAATACCTACCATTCACACAGAAAGAACCAGACAGACAGTACCGGGAAATGGATTCTTTTCCTTTTAGTCTTCAGTGGTTTTGCTTATGGTTAGATGGGTAGTTCAGTAATGGATGGAAAGGTTGTTTGGATTTTGAAATCAGTGAATTTCTGATTTTGCTATTGAGCGAGGCAAGTGAGTAAGGCAGTGTGTTGGATGCTAAGGATGAAAGAAGTGGAGATGAAATAGTACTTAACCATCTTGGCGAGATAGTCTGAAACAAAAAGTGGAAAACTAAGACAGTGATACCAGGACTGTCACAAAGATGCATTATTTAAATAAAGATTATTAGGTTATGCCATTGGGTTTGGCCTCCCCATTTCATACTGCTTGACCTCCCAGAGAGGTACAGATTCAATAGAAAACATTGACTGAGTTTGTGTGTGGAATATTTTAAGTCTTAAAAACGCTGCTCTAGTTTTTGTTTTAGTTATTGAATGACTAAACTGTGGAGGGCAGTTTTGATTCAGAGCTTAGGAATGAAACTATTAAATAATCAGTTTTGTTTGTGACTATTTCCTAACACAGGTATTTTGATTTTTTAGATGCCAATTCTACAGAGTTTGACCCTAAGACAAGTCACCCCGTGGTGAGTCAAGTGTTTGAATCTCAGAACGACTTAGAAGGTGTGGAAGGGCCAGTTACGGAAGTGACTGAGGGTTGGAGACAGGAAAGGAGACCACTTGGGTCCATCCCAGAGAACCCTGAGTTTGCTCTTTTAGGCTTACTGGAGAGGAAAAACTTATTCTTCATTATCTAATTCTTCAGTACTCTTCCCAAGTTGCCACAGAAAACTTTTAAGATGGGTACCACCATAGCCAACTAGAGGGGATTCCTGATCAAAATAATTCTCCATCCCAGCTCCTCAGCTCCCAGGAGCACTTGTAATGCTATTGATATGAAACACTTATGTAGGCACTTATATGTGCCAGGCAGTGTTCTCTGTATTTATATATATATTCATTCATTTAATCCCAGCAACCTTGAGAGAGAGGCATATTATTAAGAAATTGCTGGACTATAACACTAATTTGTTTAAGAGTAAGTGAAGCTTTCCTGGGTGGGCGTACTTCCCGGGGTGGTGCAGATGGTTAGGCGGTAGACTACTAGCTGAAAGGCTGGCGGTTGGATCCCACCCAGAGGAGCCTCAGAAGACAGGCCTGGCGATCTGCTTCCGAAAGGTCACAGCCTTGAAAACTCTGTGTAGCGGTTCTCCTCTGCACACATGGGTCGCCATGAGTCAGAATCAACTCGACGGCAACTAACACCAACAACATAAACCAAAACAAGAAGACAAACCTGTTGCCATTGACTCGGTTCCTACTCTTAGTGAGCCTATAGGACAGAGTAAAACTGCCACGTAGGGTTTCAAGGGTGTAAATCTTTACAGAAGCAGACTGCCATATCTTTCTCTCGTGGAGTGGCTGTTGGGTTCCAACCACCGACCTTTTGGTTAGCAGCCGAGTGCTTAACCACTGCACCACCAGGCCTCTCTCAAAACAACATACTTGCTGTTAAATCTGCCAGAGGAGTGGCCCTGCTCAGCCTGCTGGGTTGGCAAGGCTCACAGGGGTAGGTACAGTGCCATTATTCATCTCTGAATCCTCAACGCAGGGATGACAGACGTGGAAAGGGCATTTAGTTTTTCCCAGCATTTAACAGATATCAACTGGGACTGTTCTTGAGAGTAGGGACAGTGTGATAAACAAAACGGGGAAGTTCTTGATCTCACGGAGCTTCAACAGCATCAATATGTATCCGTTGAGCTTTGTAGATACTAAGACTCGGGAGGAGAAGAGTACAGGTGTTGAAGTGTGGTGCCTTGGGGTGGTGGGGGAACAGGGCCCAGAGAAGGTCCTGAAGGTCACCAGGTGCTCAGAGGAGCACTGGCCTGTGAGCTGACCTGGGCCCACCCGCTCCCTCAGTCGTCCATTCCACAGACGGATGGCTGGCTGCTAGCCCTGCTGCAGGCATAGCCAACTGGAGATGAACATCCCTTGCCTTAGAGAAGCTCATCATCTGGTGGAGGAGACAGACGTGTTAGAGTATAACACATACAGTGTTATACTGGATCCCTGGGAAGTGCTTTGGAAGAAAAGCCTGGCGATCTACTTCCAAAAAATCAGCCGTTGAAAACCCTGTGGAATTCAGTTTTATTCTGACACACATGGAGTCACCATGAGTTGGAATCGACTTGAAGGCAACTGGTCACTGATTAGTCTCAGACCCACTCTGCTGTGCTAGTCTTCACTGGATGTGCTGTCCTCCAGCCGCACTGGTGATCCACAGTGTTGGAGGCGGGAATGGCCAGCAGAGGGAGCTGTGCCCAGTCCTGCAGACCACGAGGACAGGCTGAAGCGGGAACTCCCTACCCAACAGAGGTTTTAACATAATGGGGCCGCTTTCCCCTGTGACAAAGCATCTCTTATAAGGCCAGGAAATAAGAACCTACTTGCTGGCTTAGTTCATTCACGAGGCAGTCTGTCTCGTAACAGAAGCAGAGTTTGGTTTTTCCATGTGTGTTTTCTGAACACCTCCAGGTCATAGACATGCCAGAGCACAATCCTGGGCAGATGGGTGGAACCATGAGGCTGGGCAAGAGGAGAACCCTATTCCAGACCAAGAACTCGGTCATGAGTAAGAGCTGCCTTGTGCCAGTCTGGGCCTTTAGCTCGGCGCATCTGAGATTCATGTCTCGGGCTGATGCCATGGCTCTGAAGGACCAGGCTGGCTTTTTTGGTTTCCCTCTTTCTTTTGAAGTTCTTTTTATTCCCCTCCTGTTTATGCTCTTTTGAAATGCGCTGTGATAGCTAAAGAAGCAGTATGGGTCTGGGAAAGGTCATTGGCTACGCAGATAGGGACCTGAGGCACAATGGTTATGGATGACTCACTCACTACAATGAGGCAGTTAGGTTGAATCCATTGTAATCTGTTTCTTCCTTATACTGTTAGGTTGAACTATATGAAATTGCCAATATTTGACCGTGTTTGTCCCACAGAGATGGCAATTTCATATAGTTCAATATAAATAGATTTATTAGAGTAGTAATAGATGCTAAAGATTTAGGAAAAATTGGGGGAGAAAAATATTTAAGAAAAATACTCTATTTAGCCAGATTTTTTTTTTTCTTGCCCCCTGGGATAATTCCACCTTTAATTTGTTAGCAGTAGCACCCGTGTCTGTCTGGGGGTTTCACAGCAGTATAGTTTGAGACTCATTGAGTAGATGATCTTCCAGTCCTGAAATTTTCAACTCTTATGTGTGGTTTGGGGATCTCACCAGGTGTCCATGAATCAATCGGTATAAGCAGCCCGTTTGCAACTGCAGTGCTTGTTCACCCACAGTCACCGGTCATCGTCGATGGCTGTGAGGCCCTGACTTGGACCGTGTGGTGCTGGCCCTGAGCGTCATCTGTGTAGCTCTTAACATGTCTGCCTTCCCCAGGTCACTCTCAGGGCTTTGGCCTTCTGGTACTTTCTGATTTGTTTCCCAAGGCAGCTTCCAGCAGAGTAGTGCTTTGTACTTTAGTGATCATGTGTTCGAAGGCGGTGGGAAAAGTCTGTGTCTGTTACGAATTTTCTTAGAGTGCTCAGAAAGAGTCAGAAGCCCAAGAATTAGTCTAAATCATGCTCTTAAAAGCTGGTACTCGTTGTTAGGAGAAGCATAGACCTAGCCTTCGCAAGCCTGGCTGTGTATATGATAAACATAAACTGGGACGCAGGGTCTGGTTGTGAACACATTATGTGGTGAAATGAGGGTTCTTTACATTAAACTGCTTGTTTGCCAGGAAAACTCTATGGAGATCCGGAGTTCTTGGAGGAGAGGCACCGCCACAGATTTGAGGTGAGGATTTGAGCCTTGTGACCTTTAAAATGTTTTCCTTTCTCTTACTCTGGAAACACAATAAGCTGAGAGACCAGCAAAATTATTTTTCATGCTTCAACAGGTAAATCCAGTCTTGAAAAAGTGTTTGGAAGAGCAAGGCTTGAAGTTTGTTGGCCAAGATGTTGGAGGAGAAAGAATGGAAATTGTGGAGTTGGAAGGTGATTACTTGGGCAGTTGTATTTAATGGAAAATTTAGTAAGTTTTCTTGGCACATGGGAAAATACAAGAATGTAAGGTGTGCCCATGACCTGACGGAATTAGGAAGCAGCGGTCTTGTGAGGGGAAGGGCCTTGGTGAATGAGGTTTCTGGAGCCCTGGGAGGGTTCATCCTTGTACCATGATTTTTCTTGGGCAGCTGTTTAACCTCTGGGTCTCAGTTCCTTGTTCTGAAATGAGAGGTTGGACTTGGTTTTAGAGCCCCTTCAGATCTCACAGGAACTGCATGACCCAGTCCTTTGGAAGTCATGGGGGCTAGGAAAGCAGGGAGCGGGAACCAGGAGAGAAGACCTTTCAGCTGGAGGAAAGGGCATAAATCTCCCGTGTTTTGCGATTACTTTTACCTATATGCAAATTAAGACTTTATTTTTGAATAACGTAGGGTCGTTGGAAATGGGAAAATTTAACAAGATTTTTTTCTCCTGCTTTTTACCTTCTGTGCATAACATTCATAATGGAGCTGTTGCTTTTGAATTTCTGTTTCAGATCATCCTTTTTTTGTTGGGGTTCAGTACCACCCTGAGTTCCTGTCCAGACCTATCAAGCCTTCCCCGCCCTATTTTGGCCTCCTCCTGGCCTCCGTAGGGAGACTCCCACATTACCTCCAGAAAGGCTGCCGGCTCTCGCCCAGGTGGGTCACTGGTCACTCAGTCACCAGCTTCTCATCTTCTCCAGTCCTTTAAAAAGCCAAAAGCCAGACCCATTGCCATTGAGTTGATTCTGACTCATAGCGACCCTGTAGGACAGAGTAGACTTGCCCCATAGGGTTTCCAAAGCTATAAATTTTTATAGAAGCAGACTGCCACATCTTTCTCTGGCAGAGAGGCTGGTGGGTTTGAGCCGCCGACCTTCCGGTTAGCAGACAAGCACGTAACCACTTCACCACCGGGGCTCCTTTCAGTCCTTTAGGTGGCCGCTAATCCATTGTGACAGGGCATCACCTGGTCACTAACAAGAAGAGCCACGGGAACCAGGGAGTCGTTCCTGCCCAGGGTCCGTGGCTGCGTCACGCGCGCCTTCTCACACTCTCATACGTTTCCTTTCCTGGGGTGTGCTCAGGCTGCTCTGTGCTCCCCTCGGCTTGTGGCCAGGCCTCCCTCCTGCAGCATCTGGGTTCCCTCGATGCTACCTGATCACATTTGCAAGTGGGACCTTGTGGCCCATGTTAGGGGGCTGTGGTTTTTCACTGGGTGTAGATCACACCCTTGGGGGATCATGCCCCATTGCTACCTTTATCAGAAACCAGTTAGTTTCTCTGAGTTGATGGTTAGGGTACCATGCCTGAAGTTTAAATTGAGTGTGTCTCTTTAGTAATTAGAAGAAAATCCCCGTACAGCCTCACGCTAAATATGGAGTGGAGTCAGAAGTCTTTCTAATCTTGCTGTGTACAAACAAAGGTCCCTATAGGAATGGTGACTACAGAAACGGGGAAGTTAAGTTTTTGTGGGAGATGATGAATAAACCGTCTGAATTCTAATCAGGGACACCTACAGTGACAGAAGTGGAAGCAGCTCCCCTGACTCTGAAATCACGGAATTGAAATTCCCATCAATAAATCATGACTAACTCTGGTAACGTAAGTGATATTTTTAAGCTTTATTATTATTTTTTAATGGTGATAACTTACTAGGATTGCAGGGAAATCATGGAAGTGCTGAAAATTTTTATCTGACAGAATGAAAGTGGCAAGGTCATTGTGGGCATCAGATGGGCTACAGGCAGCCCCTGCCGAGGAGGGTGAGGGAGAGGACTCTTCCTCAAGTCACATTGCACCTACACGCCCTGCCTCGGGGGACACCAGTCACTGGGCAGTTTGTTTTCTCATCCATTGCCTTGTTTCTTGATCGCTGCATGCAGGTGCCAGTCTGATGAGTTCTGTGGGAACTGGATTCCTACCCCCTTGTTATTTTACTTGGCCATAAACTTGGGAGATCTTGAAGGAGGTGACAGGGGTGACCTGGCATTTGTCATTTTTGCAAAGCCTCGGGTTTTCATCAGGGAGTGCATTAAACCTGATAATTGCTTATAAAATAAAGTTTCTAATTCGATTGCTACTTACTCTGTAAATCTGTCAAAATCCAAACAATTATTGAGCAGACCTGAATGTTTGCTTTATAGTTACAGGGTTTGTAAATTTGTACAGTACTGTGAATTTCTGTAAGGTCCTGTTAAGATGAACTGACAGGTGTCAGCAGAACGCATTCTGCTGGTGAGGGTGTTAGAAGGGGGTTGGGGTGTCGTTCAGGAGTCTGCGGGCTTGGAAAGGAGAAACAGGTTGATGAGTGTGGTCCCACAATGTGGGGGGTCCAACCACAGGTGAAACAAGTTCCTGCCCCAAGGCTCGGGCAGGTAAACCCATTGCCGCTGAGTCGATTCTGACTTGATTCCAACTCATAGTGACCCTATACGGCAGGGTAGAACTGCCCCATAGCGTTTCCAAGGCAGTAATCTTTACGGAAGCAGACCACTGCATCACCGGGGCTCCTTTCGGGTAGGCTGGCCTCCCTGAATCCTGCACGCCCTTCACCACCTACCTGCAGGCCTCTGTGCTGGTCTGAGCTGCATGATCACATGAGCCACGTGTTCACATGAGCCACGTGTTTTGCCTTCTGCCTTGGTTGATTAGCCACTTGGCCTGTGATAACCTGAAGTATGTGAGTGGGTGTGAGAAGTAGTTCAGTATCACATTGCTTACTCTTGTACCAGGTAAGCATTTCACACAGATGAACTTATTATTCCCCTCGACCAGATAGTCTGATGTAATGTAGGCTGTTTGACAGTCTAAGCAACTGATGTAAAGAGAAAGGAAACTTCAACAGTAAAGGAGACAGATACTTGGTCAATTATACGGAATTTTAACTACCTCGCTAAGTCGAGAATACCCTGTGTCAGCATTGTTGAGAGGCTGATTGCTGTGCAGGCCGGAGTTGATGTAAGATCTTGAAAATGTATGCTTCTATAGGAAATACAGCTTTAGTTTCTACTCACACTAGGCTCCTATAGCTGTTCTTCAGTGAGAAGCAGGCATGGTTTACCAGGCAGCCGACTGTAACTCCTAATGTGTCTCCCTATCGGATATCATGTAATTGCTAAATTGCTTTTTTTTTTTGAACAGGGATGATTCTTCGAGAGCCTTTGAACTTTGACAGAGTTTACAGCTTTGATTTTACACTCAGCTTTTGACACTTCCTTTAAATTATGTTTTTATTAAAATTATTTTATTACGGGGGAAATGGTATTTGGAAAACTTTGTCACTGCATGTCCATCGTGTGTCTTGACTCCTCCGCGGTGTGCTGCCTGCCGACACTCTGCTGTGCAGTTCTGGAGTTTCTGAGAAGAGCAGCAGCAGGTCTGGAAGAGAGCTGATGATGGACGGGGGCTGACAGAACACCCCCTCAATCACCATGTTTCTCCAACTACCTCGTGTCATTGTGGATTCGAGTGCATTACCTGTTGCTTTTTGCTGGGATGCCTGGGCCATTTTAAAAAGTGCCACATGGACTTAATAAGCACGGAAAGATACGCTTAGCTAGTACTTAGAACACTTTGGTGCTGGTGACTTGAGGGCATTGCTTACCACTAAGAGCAGTGAAACCAGAGTCAAAATCTCGACACTGCCCTGAACTATGGAGACTTTCAGTGCCAACTGTGGCTGGTACTTGTCCAATGGGACAGTCGACTTTGATGTCGCATGAAACGGCAAGAAGTCTATTCCTCTCTGAAGCGTGATTTTAAACCCCCATGCCTCTGGCCACGCTTCCTCTTCTTGGGGCTGGGAAACACTCCTTGTATCAAGGGGTTGCTTTAAAAAAGAATAAAGAATCTTTGGGAAACTGCCTCTAAAACCCTTATATATAGACAGCTTTGGCTCAAGGGACGTCTTTCTTCCAGAATGGTGTTACTGCAGTTGAAATGCAATATGAAAAGCTATTTTCTTAGCGTGATGTAACAACAGCCACAGCTATATGCCTACCGTGTTCTGGCTGGACTTATGTGTACTCTCTAACTTAAGAAATAAATAATGCAGAACTAGAGACATGCTTTGCTTTTCATTCTCTCTCCTTGGCCAGATGGAAACGTCTAAGCAGGATGCGGGATGTGCCTGTGTGCCGTCACTTGAGCTCGGTGCCAGGCTCTCCTCCGAGTGAGCAGCCTTCAGTGAGTGATCGTTTGTTCAGAAACTCAGAGAGGAGTCTTTCTAATAGGAACCAGAATTTTCCAAAAAGCCTTCAAATAGAGGTTCTCAGCATAGAATGATAGAGATGAAAAGTCATGGTGTTGGGTATGCTGCTTGACCTTGAAAAGGGAAAGAATGGACAGTATTTATTATGAAGACCCTTCCCTTTGCCCGGCACTGGACTTGCGCACCTCACCCACGTAGCCACGGAGCAGTGGACCAAAGATTGTACCTTAACCAGCAGGACTGCTTTAACCACCGGCTCTTCCTCCACCCCCGGCCCTCTGAGTACAGGCCCAGCAGATAAAGGTCACTATCTTGGAGGATTTTTTTCCTCCAAAGTGACATTAGTGCTGTTGAGTCTGTGCTCCCTGTGGAGTGTGGGTGACATCCAGCACCCATTCACCCTCTAGTCACTGAGCACACCTACTCAGGTGAGCAGTGTCCTCTGCAAATAAGTCTGTCCAAGGAAGGGGCTCAGATCTCAGGCTGGGGTCCCACAGCTGGTGTCTTCTCTGTCTATCCCTACTCCTGGTGACTGAAGGAGTGTGAGGGGATTGACTAAAGCGTGCTCCAGGGAACCCCAGTCCTGTGAAATGCTGTTTGACAAGTTCCATGATTTTCCAGTGCCTCAGACCCCAAATTTAGGAGTCACTGTGGTTGCATCATTGAGCAAGTATTGATTGTCTACCAGATGCCCAGCGTGCTTAGTGCTCCATGGTCTTTACTACATTGAAATTTGACACTGGGGGCTGGGGAGAAAAATGTTTTTCCTTTCTCACCGTTTGGCCCAGCGCCTACATCACAGAGATCCAGAAAAGAAGTGGGCTCCCTTTTATCCTTCCACTCCCTAGCCCAAGGCCACCATCACCCTCAAGGCCTGGAAGTCAGTGTTCCCTGCCTCCTGATCAAGAGCCACCCAGCTGCCTTTGTCTGCCTTCCATTTCTCATACGTTTAAAATAAAACATCTTCAGTTATACAAAGGTCTTCAAAATTGTCTTGGCACTTTGTGGCTGATTTGGCATAATGTTAGCCTCTTTTCCCACCTGGTGGTCCTGTCAGACAGTCTTCAGTCACTTTTTTAAAAAACCGTTGCCCAAACTGAGCACTGTGACATGCCCATTGGTGCCAGTAGCGCTCCCTACAACAGTGGGCATTTGGTTGGGTGTGGTTGGTTTGAAAAAGCCTCTGGCTATCAGTGTTTCCACCCTACCTGTGAGAGAGCCTCAGCCGACTAATGTGTGCTGGCCAGTTACAATCCCTTCTGAGAAAAGGGACCCCAGGTGCTTCTCCAGGGCTTGCAAAGCCCCATTGGCCTGCCACCCTCGCTGCAGCCCAGCCTTCAGAGGCCTCTCCTTGGTAGGGAAGAAACAGGCAGAACTTCTCCCGGGTCCTTCCAATAAACCCCTCACCCAGGTGATCTGGGCAGGCTCACAGCCGACTGGAGCCGCTGAACTAAAATATGACTTCTTCCTCCCTTTGGAGAAACAGGCTGTTTGCCGTTTTTGGGGATTGCTGAGGTCCCATTTCCCTTCCCCCCATGAGGCCTGGGGTAGCAGCTAGTTTGGTGCTCAGGATGTGGATGGTGCTCAGAAATGCCTGTTCCTCTGACTTCTTGAGTAACGCGTCCTTTGTTCATGCAGTTCCCAAACAGTCTTTGAAAAACCTGGTTCGGCCCCTGTGGTTGGTGACACGGGTAGCTCAGTGGGGTGAGTGACAGGAGTTTGATAATCTGTTGTGAGGCACATCCAATCTCACACTGGGTTGCTGTAACCAGTTTGAGTGATGGCAAAGCAGGGGTTGTATCTTGTAGGAAAACCAAGTCTCACAACAAGTTGTGGATGGCTCAGTAGATGTCACCTTGCTGGTGAATAGTGTGGCCATGGAACCCCAGTCCTGTGAAATGACCTGTTCAACAGGGTTCCATGATTTTCCAGGGCCTGAGACCCCAAATTTAGGAGTACCCATGATTGCTTCATTCTGCAAATATTGACTGGGTGTCTACCATATGCCTGGCATATGGTTCTGAAGTTATACAAGTGAACAAAGCCGACTCAAAGCCCCCATCCCCCATAGCGTGTATTTTAGTGAGGGGAAACAGACAAACGCTACAGTGTGTCAGATAGTGACAAGTGCTATGGAGAAAAAGATGGAAGCAGAAAAGGGGGGAGTGGAAGTGCTGGGAAGGGGGGTGTAATTTAAAATAAGGTGGTTAGGAAAGTTGAGTATGGACTTGAAGGTAAAGAGGAGAGGAAATGAGTCATGCAGGTATGGGGGGAAGAGCATTCCAGGGGGGAGCAGCCAGTGCAAAGGCCCTGAGGCAGGAGCTCCTGAAACAAGTTGGTCAACAATGGCTGGAGTGGCCAAAAAAGGGGCCAACTGAGGAGTTGAGGTCAGGTGAGCCAGGTCATGGAGGATTGTGTAGGCCATTGTTTGGCCTTTGCTCTTGACAGATGGGGAACTTTTGCAGAGCTCTCGAGACAGGCGTGGCATGATTGGACTTTGGTTTTAATAGTGTCTCTGGCTCTGCTGGTGGAGACAGCAGGGGAAAGGCCAGGAAAGGAATCCTTTCCAGTGGTGGGGGATGCTTGGAATGGACGTCAGATCCTCCCTTTGCAGGGGCTGTTCTGTGCCATGGGCTGGAGAGACAGGGCACCCACCTGATGATAAAGTGCCACCACCCACTGCTTTCTCAACCACCACCACCCTTTGAGGTAGACATTACCCCCGCCTTATAGGTGAGGAAACTGAAGCAAAGAGGCATCGCAATGTGCCCCAAGGTACCCAGTCTTTAAGGCAGAGCTGGACTGGAGCCCAACTGCTCTGTGGTCAGAGCCAGGACTGGTGCTGTCCTTTGCACACAAGGGCTCATGACCCACTTGTACCTAACAGGCTTGCCAAGCATCCTAGAAAGAACCATCGTTGCCCCAGGTGCATATGATTTATTAAGGAGCATTGACAATCATAAGTTCCAGCAAGTCAGGGATGAGGGCTGCAGGGTGGCCTATTTGCCCTGTAACCAGTTACTGAATGTACCTTGCTTTCTGCGGGAGATGCCAGATTCCTTTCTAGTCCCATTTAGCCAACGGGAGTCCTAAATCCCAGTGCAGTCAAAACCAGCGTTTTAGGGAGAGGGACACTCCCTTACAGCTCAGTCCTGGGGTAGCCAAGTTCTTTCTGAAAGTGAGGGTTCTGTGGGGATTGTGCTAAGAGCAATTTCTTAGCCACCCAGACCTGGGTTGCTCAGGGTTGAAGCCCCATCCCAGCCACCTCTGAGCAGCTCCACCTCCCTGGTCAGCCCAGACAGTGTCTGTTGGCAGGATTCAGGCGCAGGTAGGAAGTACTGCACCTCTGCTGTGTGGAGCACTGGCCCCTCCCGCCCTGGCTCGCGTGCCTCACAGGACACAGCAGGTGCAGGAGGTCAGCCAGTGCTGCTTCAGCTGCCGCTGGAGCTGCTCCCTCTCCACCGTCAACACCTTCACCTTCTCTTCCAGTTTGCCTAGTTCTGCCATCCATTTCTGAAGGGACATTGGAGAAGCAGATGTCGAAGCAGACCTCCCAGGCCTGGCCACACCCTGCCCCCCAAACCCCCCCACCAGAGCCTGATGGGCCTTGCTCACAGCCGTTGGGCAACATGTTGGCACCGTTAGGTGGGGAAGCCAGGTCCCCTGGCCATGACACCACTTCTGACCAAGTTGGCGCTGGGGTCTTGAGGGAGGCTGCCTGATGTGAGGGTCCTGCCAGCATCCCAGCCCCTGGGGTGGACCCATCCTCTGCAGCCTCACCAAATACCAGGGGCAGGGGCAGGTTGACCACCCTGTGGCCAAGTCCTTTTCTCACTCCTTGTCAGCCCCTTGCCCCTCTCTGCTTTGCCAGCACTTGATTTCCTTCTTGAAGAGGCCTTTCCTTGGGACCTGCCACCTCTCTCACATACCTCCCCTAAGAAGCATCACCCACTCCTCCACTTTTCTTGTAACTTCAAAATAGTGTAACCTCCCCCCTCTCCCAGCCACTCACGGATGGAATGTCTTAACCCTCAAGCCAAGGCAGAGGGGTATTTCAGGCACCACGGAAGGTGGCATATAGACTTTTGAAAGAGTGCTCAGGGCCTCACCCTCACCCCCAGGCACGGGACAGTGGACTACAGGATGTGGTGAGTTATTCCTGTCCGCCCCAACCGGTGTACTGGGTGGGTGATGGAGGACCAAGGGGAACAGCGGCTTGCCCTGGACTGCTCAGGGAGCGGCTGAAGGAGCCTGCAGTCCGCCAGGCTCCCACCTGCCCTCCTCGCGGAGCCTCGTTACCTGCCTGCACCACTCCTGGATGGCGCTGCCGGACAGCGGGCCCTGGATGCTCCCGTCGCGCCGCAGAAACACCTCCCCCTGGTCGGTCTCGTAGAGCTGCGGCTCGCTCTGGGCCTTGGGCGGGTGCACGCGCAGACGGATCACCTTGATGAGGGCAACAGTTGGGCGCTGCACTTGACAGTTCGCAGCCCCAAATCCCGCTTAAGCGGCTGCCGCGTTGCTCACTGGCTCCTTAGGGAGCCTGGTGGGGTGGGGGCAGGGTTCCTGCCAGCCTCTTCTCCAGTCCTCCTTCCCCCAACTCCCCGTCGCACCCTCCTAGGCCAGCGTCGCTCAGCTCTGGGCTTAGCAGAGAAGATGACCCGCATCATTAGTTAAGTGATGACAGATGACAAAAGCTGAGACCCAGAAACCTTGCTTTCCCGCAGGCTCACCTTGAGGGGGACGCTGGTGGCGGAGATGCTGATCACGGGGATGAAAGTGAGGGCATAGGCGTCTGGGAAGACCTGGGGCTTGAAGCCCTGCAGGATGGAGTCCACCAGCAGGCGCACTCGGTCCTCGTCGTGGTGGCTGCAGCGGATGCCCTGCACCAGGCCGCTGTCCTCGACACCCACAAACAAGTTGCCGCCCTCGCTGTTGAGGAAGGCGCACACGTAGCGCCGCACGTGGTGCTTGAACGCCAGGCTCAGGTACTCGCCGCCACCGCGCTTGAATTCCACGTTGCGTGTCTCGCTGCCCAGGAAGGCGCCCTGGAAGAGCCTCTCCTGGCCCAGGATCTCCTGGTGCACGATGGCGCTGTCGGAGCGCGCGCCGCTGGGCCGGTTTTGGTGGACCCCCGGTCTCTGAGAGGCCCAGGACAGGCTGGGCGGGGTCTCTGTGGGTGGGACCAACGACCTCCCACTGTGGTCCGGGCTAGCGCCAGCGCTGGGGCCCAGTCTCAGGCCGCAGTCTTCCTCCTGTGGGAGGGAGGGGGGGAATCAAGAACGGGTGTGGGGGGCAGGGCAAGAGTCGGAGCCCCTGCTGGGGTGGTGTGAGGGCCAGACTGCTAGAGCCCCCACATGGGCCTCCTAATGCCCCCTCCTGACCACGAGATCCAATTCTGCCCACCCCTCCTGCCAGCCAATGCTGGAAACCTCTGGAGGGCCAGACGCATCAGCTGGGTCAAGGGCTCAAACTAGCAGCTGCTTCCTCCCCTGCCCAGCTGGCCCTCTACCACTGGGTGATGGTAGGACGTCTCCTTCCCAGCTGGGAGCTGGGACACCTGTGGACCAATCTTTTCCCACTTGGATTTTGGATAGAAATCCAAGGCCCAGGACAGGATCATTCCAGGAGGTGTCTTATTAGCGCCCCGAGGTCCCTGAACTGAGAGGGGCCACAGAGACCCCATCCTTTCCTAATCTCCCTGAAACCTTTGCCTATCGCTTTCCTGACTATTGACAAGTCCTCCTGAATCACTCCCTTCCTCTGCCCCTCCCGAGTCCACTCCCTGGGCTCTCATCTGTGTGTTCGAGGACTCTGGGCATGAGGGGCTTCATGGCCACTTCTCTAGTCTGGGCCTCATCAGTTGGCCCCTGGATGACCGTGTTAGCCCCTCACTGGCCTCCCTGCCTCCAGGCTCTTTCACCCCAACTCATCATCCTCCCCACTGACCCCAGATGCAAGTCACATCAAGTCGCTCCCCTCTACAGCCTTTCCATGGCTTCCGGCTGCCTGCAGGCCTCCCTAACTGGCTTACAGGGCTGGGAGCCCAGCGCCAGCTGGCCATGGAGATGAGGGGCATACCCCCACAAGCCCTGCAGCTCCCCAAGATTGTCTTTAGAAACAAGATAAAACTCTTACAAACAGGACATCAGGCACACAGGTCTGTTTAGTTCTGCAATAGTTTAAACACCATGGCAGTTTCATCCGCCACCTCTGCCCCCTGGCCCCAAAAGGGAAAACCAAAATCACCTGTCTCAGGGAGTGACTCACTACAACCACAGCGAGTTGGCTATCCCCTGCTAGCCCCCTAAAAGCCAGCCTTTCAGCCCCATTCCGCCTTGATCTCCCAGCCCTGCCTGCCCCGTGGGTGCCAGCTGTCTTCTTCAGCGTGCCCTGCAGCCTTGGGCCTGAGCTCCAGGGATGCCTAATGGCTTTCCCTTCTGCAAACAAAAGGAACTTGCGCAACATCCCTCTGTCTGGAATGTCCTTCCCCATTAAGGAGCCTGTCAAATTCTGAGTCCCAGCTTGGATTTCACTTCCGCTGTGAATCTGTCCCTGGAGAGCAGTGCAGAGCAGCGAGGAGCCTCCTGTCTCCTCGTCCAGCTCGAGGCAGCCACGTGGCAGCTTTGCCAACTGGCTATATCTGGCTCTGCTCACAGATGGGGGCTCCCTTGTGAGGGCCGGGCCCCACCTTTAACTTCTGCCTTACTGCCTGGGATAGGTGGGCATGGTGTTTGTCAACTGAATGAGGTGGGCCAAGGAGAAAATCAGGGCCCCTGTGTGCCCAAGCCCAGAGGAAGGGAAGCAAAGGGACCCAGGGAGGAGTCCCACACTTTGGCCTTTTACAAGAGGGGCCACTTACCATGTGCTTCAAGACTGGAGGCAAACCGTGAGGGTCAGTGACCCTCTGGGTGGTTGCCGCCCCACCAGCTTCAGGCCATGATCATTTCAGTAGCAGCCCCCAACTTTGCAGATGTGTCCCCAGCTCCAACAAGACACCCCTCCACTCCCACGCAGCACAGGCCATCTGCACCCAGGCCTCTCTCCTGGGTGAGGCTTTGGGCCTTGTGGACCTGGTGGCCTGGGAAAAGCCTACTTACCTCTCTTCGGTGAGAGGGCTTCCGGCCCTCAGTCACCACCAGCTCTTTCCCTCGGGCCGCCAGCTCCTTGAGGATCAGGTGCTCCTCTGAGGCCACCTGCAGGCGTGAGGGCAGCGAGGCCAGGGTGGACTTTGGGGTGGCCACCTGCACAACTGCATAGGCCTTCCGAGGCCGCCGCACCACCTCAATGTGCTCCCGTGCCACAGGCACCTCGAGCCGCTCCAGGGTGTCTCGCAGCAAGCAAGTGAGCACTGGTGTGGAGAACTGGGGGTTCAGGTGGCCCACATAGAGAGTGTGCATGGTGGGGGCCGCTGCAGGGTCTGCATCCTCAGGCAGGGGCTCCTGTGTGTGGGGCACCTGTAGGGGCAGCTCGCCCAGAGGCCCTATAGGAAGCTCCGGCACCTGTGCTTCCATTGTCTCTTCCTGGGGATCTCTGGAGGGGTCTCCCTCAGAAGGCATTTTGCGATTTCTCACCACTGGCTGCTCCTCCCAGGGCTCTGGCCTCTCAGCTGGGCCCAGAGCCTCCCAGGGGGACTCAGGGGGTACCAAGTCTCCTGGGAGGCTCACAGATTGGTAGGGGCTGGGCAGGGCCATGGAGGGAGGGGGAGAGCAGAGGGCCAGCAGGAAGGGGCTGGCCACCTACTCGAGGCCTAGGACAGGAAAGAGGAGAGTCAACGCAGGGCTGCACCAGTGAACACAGCATGCGGCCTCGCCCCTCCATTCCACAGAAGGGAAGACTGAGGCCCACAGGGGAGGCCTTATGCCCAAAGAGCTAGAGGCCGATGGGACCAGACCGGTGTTCTTTTATAGCCCCAGAAATCTTGTCTTCCCTGCCCAACCTGCCCCTCTCCACAGGCTCGCCTACGTAGGTGCCCTCAATGTTTCTTGCCCACCAGAAGACGACTGCTTCTCCACGCACCGAAGAAACTTTTTAAAGAGGGCCTTTTGCAAAGGAGGCCTTAAGCCCACTTCTGGGATAGGATTGCCCAGAGGGCCCATTGCTGCTTCTCCCTGACTGGTCTGCAACCCAGCCTGAGCCCAGCAGATGCTCTGAAAGAATCAGGGCCGGAGCAGAAGGCCCTAGAGCAGAGTTTTTATGCTTTTGGCATACTGATGAAAGCTATGGCCCCCTCCCATGAAAAATGGCCTTATGCACATATACATGCAATTGTAGGAGGTTCAGGGACCATGTTTTAAGAACTCCTAGTCAGCTCCCATAGGAGAAACACCTGGCAATCTGCTTCCATAAAGATTACAGCCAAGAAAATCCTATGGAGCACTTCTACTCTGTCACATGGAGTTGTTATGAGTCGGAATCGACTCAACGGCACAACAGTCTAGACTGAGTCCTCCGTTTTGGGCCCAGAGAGCAGAAGTGAGGCAGAGCAGAAAAAAGATTGGAGCTGGGGGGGCATTTGCCCCCAGGCGCAAGTCCAAGGGGGTGCCAGACGAGGCGCGGACGTTCCAAGGTGCCACAAATATGAAAGGCGCCTGACTGAGGCAGCCAGACAAAAAGTGGGAAGGCGTTTCTGCTGTTGCATCCCCACTATCAACATCTATTCATCTTGAAATGGGGGGGGCACAACTTAGAGACTGCCCCCCCATGCTCATTACCCTTGCTACACCCCTGCCACTCACCCCCACACACCCGGCCTCCGGCTTGCATGGTAGGTGCCACCGGCCTGCATCTTTTCAGATCGGATCCTTGAGGCAGTCAGGACCTGTGGGCCACCACGGCTGGGGTGGGGGCATTTAGGGCCAACAGGAATAGGAGGAAAGGGGAGGCCTGTGACCTTCATGTCCTGCTGGTTCCTGGGGAAGCACCAGCCCTGAGCTCCCCATGCTCAAGCTTGGCCGGTGAACAGCGAGAACCAGGCTGAGGAAGTGGGCGGGGCCCACTCACTACCTCTGTGATCTCATGCAGGGCAACAATGCCTTCTCGGCCAGCCAATGCCTTCCTTTGGCCAAAGGTCCAAAGGAAAACTCCTCCTCCATCCCCCCACCTCCCACCCAGCCCAAGCAGATACAGCTACCTCCCCACCGCTCGTAACACCTTGGCCATGAGGCTCCCTCTGGGCAGATCCTAGAATCCCATGGCTGAAGACATACTTCCTCCCTCTGCCACATCTCTCCAGGCCACACCTCTCTCTTGGCCCGCTGCCCAGTCCAAAGCTCCCAGCTCCCCTTTGGTCGCCAATCCCAGGCTCCCCTCGCACTGGTGGGCCCAGCTTCCCCTTGGATGGGTCAGAAAACACAGGGCTGGTTCCAGGGCTCCCCTAGCACCAGGCCCTTCTCTGTGCCCAGGACAGAGGTTGCTGTCCAGAAGACCTCTGAGGAATAGATCAAGCATTGCTGTCTCTTTTGAAGGACAGGGTTGTCACCTGCTGCTTGACAGGGACCAAGTCATGGGTGACACACAAGCCTTAATTAATGCAGGAATCTTCTTGGGGATGACCCTTTGACAGGTGCTTTTCATTATGCAGCTATAACGTAGCACTTTCCCACACTGCCTGGAAGCCTCAGGACTGGGGGTGGAGTGTGGAGTTCAAAGGCAGATGTTTCAGACCCGGAAGGCAGTGGCTGACAGTGTAGAGAAGGCTGCCTTTCTTGTGGGCAGCCATTATATTACTGGATTTTGTTTCCCTTAGAGACTGAGGTAGAAACTTGGGTGGGGAACTTGCAAAAGGACAGTCTGGTATGGGAGCACAGAAGAACGCCAGGCCCCAAATAGTGGCACTGTGAGGCTTTGGGGAGAGCCAGCCAGCAGGGACTTCCAGGGGGCCCTGGTCAAGGCCCAGTGGGTACAGTGACAGCTAAGGGCCAGGATTAAGTTTTCCTTTCCTGTCATCCCTCCCCAGCCTTTTGTTAGTTGTGTTTTGGGGGCAGCAGCTTCAAGAGGCAGGTGGGAGGTGACTGTGGAGAGCCTGCAGTGCTGGTCTGAAGTGGGAGGAGGCCAAGGAACCTGGGCTTTCATGGAGGGAAGGCAGGCATCCGATAGCCTGCATTCTGGAGGGATAGGGGCTGGACTTCTTCAAGGGAAGGGTCGCCCTGGAAGACTAGAGAGGCTCCTCTGGTTTGGTTATTATTGGGCCGGATAGGAGTGAATATCCTGGATACAAGGAGCTAAAAGATGGACTGCAGTTATTTTCTACTCCCTCCTCCTCAGGGGACGCCATCTCTTGGCCCCCTCCCCTTGAGTTCAGCTGAACTGTATTTCTTGATCTTCTGAGGGTGCAAAGCCTCACGCCAGGTGCTGGAGCCCAGGAGGCAGACAGCCAGCACATTTCCCGTGCTCTTGTGGCACCTGCCACCCTGCCCTGTCAGCCGCACCCACCTCTGACTCATCTCTGCACCCACAGCCCTGAGAACTGCAGAATGATGGCTCCTCAGGCTTCTCCCCCAGCCCCCAGCACAAGAGCCCTCTTCTCCTTCATTCTGACTCTGCCATCCCCAGCTTCTCTCACAGCAACTGTACAACTGAGGCCGTAGCTATTTTGACACTGTTAACTCCTGAGGCTGTTAAGTCATGTGAGTTGTGCAGAAAAGAGACAGGTGGCCAGAAGAGGACTCTGACAGGGCACACCCGTGAACATACTGCGGCATCCTCCTCCCAATCTAGAGGCCTTGCTACCAGGCAGCTATTCTACAAGAAATTTCCCAACCTGGTTTAAGTGCCAAAACTTCCACCACTCTTACCAGAAATTTCTTTAAACCATTCTACTACATTTTGCTCTGGGATCTTTGATAACCTTATGTGAGCTGAACATCAGTTCAGCTTTTTTTGTGGGGGTAAAAACTGCCTTTCACTGTAAGTACTAAATAGATTTATGAAATATTTTAAATACAGAAAGGCACTGCAACTGAACTGGGTTATTTGTGTTGCTGGGGGTTGGTAACGGTACTGACGGGGCCCTGTGGGGAGCTCGGGCAGTGCAGACGGGAGTTCAGTGCATGTGATAAGCGGCCCTTTCAGTTCTCTCACTTGGTGTCTGTGACCTTATTCACAAACCTCATCTGGCATTTGAGAAAAAAAACAAACTTGCCTTTAAGGTTCTTTATGAATGCGAAAGCAAAAAAAAAAAAAAAAAAAACCATTCCTGTCAATTCGGACTCATAGCAGCCCTACAGGACCGGGAGAGCTGCCCCATCAGAGTTTCTAAGGAGGACCTGGTAGATTCAAACTGCCAACCTTTTGGTTAGTAGCTGTAGCTCTTAACCACTACGCCACCAGGGTTTCCTTTACAAATGCAAGGTGGGGCCCAGAAGTGAGGCAGAGGGAGGCTGTGGAAATGCTTCTTCTTATGTTAACTGGAGAATGGACATTTGTTGCTCTTCACCAGTGTCCATTGGTGGCCCACATGGCTGCTGTCTCTGAAACCACAGCAGGGATGGATGTCTACCTGGGCTCCCAGCCGAGGGGCAGAGGGATAGGGAAGGGGAATGAGCTCAGGGCAGAGTCTACTGCCATTATGTGGCAGATGACAGGATGCCAGAGAAGAGCAAACTCTCTGGAGTTTTGTGGACATGATTTTCACGACTCTGGGACCCAAGTCACTGCAGGATCAGTCTTGAGCCAAGTCAGCATTTCTTCAGACATGAGTCCTCCCTTTGCATACCACCGACCCCCCTTTCAGAGTCCAGCCCCAGCCCTCCACAGGGTATCTGATGTTTGAGTGGCTCTGGCCCAGGATCTGTACGCTCAGTACCTTTTGGCTGCTGGCCTCTGTGAGCATTTGCAGTGGCTTTGGTATCGGAGGCACAAATACAGCAGCTCTGATGCCTGGCTGTGATAGTTCCTGGGTTAAAAGTTCGAGGCAGTAACGCTTCCCTGGAACATGGTGGCAAGACCAGATCCAATGATTTGAAGTAAGTATTAGAGTCAGAAGGCTGCGAAAAGCTGAGGCACAAGGGGAGGAGAGTCTGGACTCTCCCAGGCAAGAGGGCTTTCCACGTTTTGAGCTTTGCTTGTAAGAAGGGGTGGTGGTCCAGGAGGGGTAAAGCACCTTTGGGCTCTTCCTGAGGACAGACTGTAGCACCCAGCGTGAGGGCAGGGACAGTGTATCCACCAGTGCCACATCCCAGAGAAGGAGCTCAGGGAGCTCCACAGAGATGCCAACATGGAGTGCTGCCAACACTCCGGCTCAGGGCAGAGAGCCGGGACAATGGAGATAGAGTGGAGAGGAGAGTGGCCAACAGGCAGGGAGGGGCCCCGGTTGTGGAGGGGGCAAAGGGTTCCAGGAAAATGCCCAGTCCTTTCCTGGATTCAGCCCAAAGTGGAAGCCAAACTCTTCTGTTATCCCTTAGAAGCATTTTTTTTTCCTCCTGATGCTCCTCAGCACTGGAGTCAATGTCTTCTCCCTGTCATGGTGTGAAGGGTAGGCACATGAAGCTGGTGCCATGGGGTCTCTGTTCCCCAGTCCCACTTTCCCAAATGCCTTCTCACCACAGGGGCCGCTGGACTGTTGAGTCAATGGAGGGGTCTCTCACGTGGGCACTGGGCCTGCCTGAGGCCAGTTTGGCTTTTCTGATGACTCTAGGTCACTATTAAGGAGCCCTGGTGGCACAACAGTTAAGAGCTCAGCTGTTAACTGAAAGTTTCGCGGTTTGAACCCACCCAGTGGCTCTGTGGGAGAAAGACCTGGCGATCTGCTCCCGTAAAGATTATAGCTTAGAAAATCCTAAGGGGCAGTTCTACTCTGTCACATGGGGTCACTATCCATCAAAAATTGACTTGATGGCACCCAACAACAAGAAGTCACTATTAGAAGACTTGGCTTTGTGAAACAATTTCAAAAGTTGAGATTTTTTTTTGGTTTGTTTTATCTTAAATAACATTCAGTTCTGACCACAGAGGTTAGGGTAATTGAGTAAAAGGTTAACAAACCCTTTCCCCTCCTGCAGGGGAATTTGACTTTGGTTACCACCTTTCTAGTTCGGTTTCTCTGGAAACCAGATAAAAATAGAATGTCAACTGTTTCAAGGCAACATTGCTTATGTTAAAATGACTCCTGGCTGTAAATCACCTGGACCTCCAGTACGTATGAAGTATAAACACTTACTAAAAAACACAACTTTAGGCTCCTGAATATAATGACTTTCAGTTAGGCAAGAACCCCAGAAACCATGCTGACGGAGTTGTTATAAGAGATACTGGCTGTCCGTGGAGGCTGAAACAATGGCCTTGAGATAATTTTTAAACCTTACAACAAAAATACCCACTGAACTCTTAAAACCAAACAATAGTTTAGGTTAACTAATAAAGAATGTCTGCCTTGAGCATTGTGCATTTCTAAGAACTACCTATATGGGATCAAACTGACGACAGCAGCTCGAAAGCTTAGATAGGAACCTCAGGGGCAGTGAGTTTATGTTAATGGGGGAGGAACAACTCAGAAAAGGAGGGTGAGAATGGTTGTACAACTTGGAGAATGTAATCAATGTCACTGAATTGTGCATGTAGAAATTGTTGAATTGGTGGCGTATGTTCTGCTGTGTATATTATCAACAACAGAAATAAAATAAACTATTGAAAAAGAAGAAGGAAAAAAAAAGATCTTGGCTCCCTTGGGGCATGACGCTTTTAAGCCAAGGTGAACTCACTTTTCCCTTATGTCTCATTTCCTTGTACCTAAGCTGTCACCTGGGAACCAAGAAAAGCTCCTGGGTGATTGTGGGCTGCTGCAGGGACTACCAAGGAGCCCAAGTGGCACAGTGGTTAAGCGCTACTAACCAAAAGGTCAGTGGTTGGAACCCACCAGCTGCTTTGCAGGAGAAAGAGGTGGCAGTCCGTTTCCGTAATGAGAGCCTTGGAAACCCTATGGGGCAGTTCTACTCTGTCCTGTAGAGTCGCTAGGAGTTGGAATCGACTCGACGGCAATGGTTGCTGTTTTTTCGTTTTTCTCACAGGCAAGTACTACCCCACTGAAGAGGAACATAGAAGACTGCTTCGGGCTGTCCTGCTGGCAGGCTGTTTCCTGTGTGACAGCCTTCAAAGTGAATCTGATGCCCAGGGTAGCCTAAGGGAGTTTGAATGTTTAGTTGGCTCTAAGACAAAGGCCCTCTGGTGGGTGCTGCCTGCAGTATAATGTACTGCATTCCTTATTAGCTATGGAGTTTTGGATAAATAACCTAAGCTACGGTTTCCCATCTGAAAGATGGGGGAAAATGGTAGTTATCCTACAGGGTTGTTGTGAGGTTTAAATGAGATAATGCACATAAAGAACTTAGCACACTGAGCCCTCCATAAGTTCTGAGTTAAGCTGTATACTCTTGGTGGCCCAGGGGTAGGGTGAGGTGGGTGTCATTTTGCACCCCAAGGCCCAGCCTTGCAGCATGTCTGGATGCCTACGTATCTGGTGTTACCTTCAGTCCCTGTGTCTCTTGGGTAAGGGTCACATCCAAAAGTTCATTAGCAGGGTTTAGTAAGGCCCTTCTTGGGAGTACCCTGAATGAACATACCCCAATGTCCAGGAGTCTGTGGAAAACAGGACCTCTTCTGGTTTGGCAGCTCTGACCATGACTGTGTCAGTGACCACAGTCAGAGCCTCACAGTGGCCAAGTGAACAAGACATTATAAGTCTGTTCTGATGTCAGAACCAGTTACTGGTCAGAGCTGGCAGTGCCCGCAGAAATCTCAGCCAAACCTTCATAGCCAGCTGCACCCAAATAAGGGAAATGACTTGCCCAAAGCTTCACAGCAACTCAGTGGACTGGCTAGAACCCTGGGCATGGCCTTGGAGTCAGATTACTTGGCTTCAAATGCCTACTATGGTACTTCTTGGCTATGTACCTAAGTTTGTTTCCTCATCTATAAAATGGGTTTGTTGTTAAGATTAAATAAGATAATTCATGTAAAGCAGTTTGCTTGGCACATTCTGTTATCAAAGTGTTAGCTATTTTCATTATTAGGTTACCCTGGACTCCTTTGCTGTTCCCTACACCTTCCCCTCCCCTGAACCCTACACCCCCATTATAAACAGAGGTGTGTGGCCCTGGACTTGGGATCTAGCCCCTGCTCAGTGCAGCCCTGACTTGGCTGGGCCTGCCTGCATCTCTCCTCACCCAAAGAGGATGAACATGAATCCAGACGGGGAGGTTCCTCAGAGGAGCTGACCCGAATATTGTTCCCTCCTGCTCTGGCTTCTTGGACCCCCTGTGCTCACCACTGTTGAGCTCTACCAGTGTGAAGCCCTTTGAGGGCAGACACTGGACCCCAACTCTGTGTTCCCCGGGGGCTTACACAATGCTGGGTCCGCAGTGGGCATCTGGCAGACAGCCTGTTCTTTAGGGATTGCTGGAATTAGGAGAACACTTAGGGAACATCTTGCCCAAGCTCCTCATTTTACCTATGAGAAAACTAAGACCAAGAGAAGGGGAGTGACTTGCCTAGTGGAGGCACAGTGTTTTAGCCGTCAACTGATTAAAAGGACACTGGCATCTATATTGATTTTTATTTATAAACAAATCGACATAAAATAAGTCCAGATGGTAGCAGAGGCAGCTTGCTGCAGACTTGCTTACAAAGGAAGCAAATGGACAGCAGAGTGGGTGGAGCCAGACTCCAGCCTGGAGACCCCTCCCTCCCATTCACGTTAGGGCTTCCTGGGCCTAAAATCATTGGGCCCAATCTTCTTCGGTAGCAATTCTGGTCAGGGCAAGAAGCTTGGGTCGAGGACTGTCTGTAGATGTGGCAGGGCGGGGGCTCACATTCCCGCACATGAGGCTCGGAGCTGCAAAGACCCCAGTGGGGGAAGGGAGGGGAAGCTGACAGTGACCCTCTCCTCCCCATGCTGAGTGATGTGGTCAAGGCTCTGCGGTCTGTCCACCCCTAAAAGCAAGTTCCCTAAGGTAGTGTCCTCTGGAAAGGGGCCAGGGCGGGCCATTCTCCGACCTCCTGAAACCCAGGCTCCAAGGTGCGAGGACTATGAACTGGAGGGCTTGCTCAAGTGCCAGAAACAATAAATTAACAATAAGAAAAGATCTTTTTTTTTTAAAGGTAGAGGTTTGCACCATCATTTTGGAGTCTAGGGAGCTGGTGGGAGAAGGCAGGAGCTGTGGGGCAATGGGGTGCCACACCAGGCCTAGTAGGTGGTGAGGGGACTGGGCACCACTGCCAATTCCAGGCCCTGTCTTCCAAGGCCCCAGGGTTGGCTCCTTCCCCATCACTTGGAAGGCGCCCAGTCCAGACTCCTGGAGAGAGGCTGGCCAGACTTGAGAAATAAATACAGGGGACCTCAGAGCCAAGGTAGGGCTGAGGGGAAGAGCAGTGCCAGCCCTGGGCCCCATGTTTTCCCCTCTTCAGTCCTTCATGGAAGGACACATCATGGCAGGAGGGGCTAGTAGTGGCTCCACACAGCCTGGAGTCTTGAGGAGGCCCGGAATCCCATTGAGGCACCCGGGAGTGGGCTGACTGCCCTCTTTCATGGGGGAAGAACACCCCATCTGCTTGACCACTCAGTTGTCTAGGATGCACCTCCCTGTTCAGAACTTGCCCTGCTTCAGCCGGTCAATGTGGTAGGAGAGCTTGAGTGCAGGCCCCAGCTTCAGCCCCATGTACTTCATCATCATGTCACTGCGCAACAGAAGCAGGGCCTTGCCGTCGATCTCCTGGGGGCAGGCAGAGGAGGGTGGGGGAGGAGCCATCAGAGGCCTGGTTGGTCTGACCACCCCAGGTTCTAAGTAAGGGCCACCCACGGAAGTGCCAACAACATGAAGTCCAATCACTCTGTGGTGACACTGGAGCCTATCTGTCCTCCTGACCCTTTTTCTCCAATCATTCCTCCCCTCAGACATCCACTCCTGAACCCACAAGGTCAGGCTCTTCACACGTCTGTACCATTTTCCTTCTGGTGCTGCCTGAGAGGCAGTTCCTCCCCACCCTCACACCTTTGAGACACAGCTCCATCCCATCTCTCCAGGAAGCCTCTCCAGTCAGTGCACTGGTTACTTACCACAGGCTGTTTTTCTATTGACCCTCAACTGTTATTCTGTGAGTCGCCTATTTCCTGAATGGCAGACCCCTTCCTGGGAGCTAGGCACAAAGCAGGCACTTACTGAGGAGCTGTGAAACCTTCAGGCCTGATCTAAGAGCACCCTCCAAGCCCATCTGGTGAGAATTAAATGATCAAGGAAAGGTAGCAGACCTGTTCTGTGTGCCCAAAGGACAGAACAGCACCAAAGAGTGGGGCTAGGAGGAAGTGGGTTTGAGCCCCAAATCAGAAGAATGGTCACTGCAGGGGAATCAGGAGCCAAAGGTCACTTGAAGAGATGTTGGAGGTTCATAAAGGGGTAGTAGAGGACAGGGAACTGATGAGGATGGAGAGTTGGGGACCACTTGGCAAAGGGCTCTTTAACTTAAACTGAGGTCCCTGATTCTCATGCCTAAAAAATGTCCGACATGAAAGTCAGGGCCAGATGTAAGAACAGGGTCTCGGCAGGCTTTAGAGGCCCAGTGAAGGCAGGCGGACAAGAGAACAGGCATTACTGGGAAAAGAGGAGATCCCCGACTCCAGGACTGAGCCCCCAGGCCATACACCTGGTAGGAATGTGGCTGAATCAGATCCTATTCTGAAGGAGTTGACCCAGATTGTCCAATGAAGTCTATCTGAGATCCAAGAGTCTAAGTTTTTATGGTGTCACCTTTGCTCAGTGACACAAGGAACCTGGAACAAACAAATATACAGCCCATGCCCTTTAAGAGTCTACAAGTTACAGAAACAAGACTCCCAGGGAACACAGGAGAGGTCAGGCAGGGGCACCTACGTGTTTGCGAAAGAGGTCAGCGTGGGGTCCAAGCTGAGGATCAGCTTCCCGAACAAACTGCATCACGTCTTCAACTGTCCATGAGGAGGGGTCCCGGCCACTCAGTCTCGAGCCATCCCGGCTTTCCAGGTATCGGTCTGACCCTGTAGCACAGGAGGGCACCTACTATAATGGGCAGGGACTGGTTTATAAATCCCCACTGCTCTCCTTGTCATGTCCCAACGGCCCTATAGGTGATGCTCGCAGCAGTGCTAAAGCATGAGCAAGGCAGCCTAGGGAGGGAGCAGTCTCCCCACAAAGGGCCTATGGGGCCTGAGACCTTTCTTAAGTCAAATCTTTTTTCTTTAAGGGTAGTTCTGACTTTTGGAAATGGTTAGAAGAAACTTTACGTTGAGACTGTGATTCAATCTGGGCCTGAGACAAGGGAAGAATGAGGTAAGGGGACTACCTGGGTTCAGTGGGAGCTGGTGGGCAGAGCTGCTTTGACCTTGGTTCTGGGGACCATTTCTAGAGGGACCCTGGTAGCTGGGTAGGATTAGGGCCAGGCCCCTTAGGGCCTAGGGAGGAAAAAAAGCGGTGGATAGTATCCTGGGTACTCATTTTCAAGGCCTGGAGAAGAGGTGACCTCACTACACCTTGACAGTAAAGCAGAAAATAGTTTTTGCCTTGGCTGCCAGGAATTTCAATGCTAATTTAAAGCTCTGTTTAGAGGTTGTTGTTATTAGGTGCCACAGAGTTGGTTCCAACTCATAGCAACCCTATGTACAACAGAATGAGACACTGCCCGGTCCTTTGCTATCCTCACAATCGTTATGCTTGCAGCCATTGTTGCAGCCACTGTGTCAATTCATCTCCTTGAGAGTCTTCATCTTTTTTACCCTCTACTTTACCAAGCATGATGTCCTTCTCCAGGGACTGATCCCTCCGGATAACATGTCCAAAGTATGTAAGACATAGTCTTGCCATCCTTGCCAGTCAGGAGCATTCTAGTTGTACTTCTTCCAAGACAGATTTGTTCGTTCTATTAGCAATCCACTGTATATTCAATATTCTTCTCCAGCACCACAATTCAAAGGTGTCACTTCTTCTTCGGTCCTCCTTATTCACTGTCCAGCTTTCACATGCATACGATGTGAATGAAAATACCATGGCTTGGGTCAGAGCACCTTAGTCTTCAAGGTGACATTTTTGCTCTTCAACACTTTAAAGAGGTCTTTTGCAGCAGATTGCCCAATGCTATGCATCGTTTCATTTCTTGACTGCTGCTTTCAAGGGGGTTAATTGTGGATCCAAGTAAAACGAAATCCACTGTCAATCTTGTCTCCATTTATCATGTTGCTTATTGGTCCAGTTGTGAGGATTTTTGTTTTCTTTATGTTGAGGTACAATCCATACTGAAGGCTATAGTCTGATCTTCATCGGTAAGTGCTTCAAGTCCTCTTCACTTTCAGCAGGCAAGGTTGTGTCATCTGCATAACACAGGTTGTTAACGAGTCTTCCTCCAGTCCTGATGCCCTGTTCTTCTTCACATAGTCCACCTTCTCAGATTATTTGCTCCGCATACAGATTGAATAGGTATGGTGAAAGGACAACTCTGACGCACACCTTTCTTGACTTTAAACCATGCAGTATTCCCTTGTTTTGTTTGAATGACTGCCTCTTGATCTATGTACAGGTTCCTCATGAGCACAATGAAATGTTCTGGAATTCCCATTCTACGCAATGCTATCCATAATTTGTTATGATCCACACAGTTGAATGCCTTTGCATAGTCAAACACAGGTAAACATCTTTCTGGTATTCTCTGCTTTCAGCCAGGATCCATCTGACATCAGCAGTGATATCCCTGGTTGCATGTCCTCTTCTGAATCCGGCTTGAATTTATGGCAGTTCCCTGTTGATGTACTGCTGCAGCCGCTTTTGAAAGATCTTCAGCAAAATTTTAACTTGCGAGTGATATTAATGATATTGTTCTATAATTTCTGCATTTGTTGGGATCACCTTTCTTTGGAATAGACATAAATATGGATCTCTTCCAGTTGGTTGGCCAGGTAGCTGTCTTCCAAATATCTTGGCATAGACAAGTGGGCACTTCCAGTGTTGCATCCGTTTGTTGAAACATCTCAATTGGTATTCCGTCAATTCCTGGCACTTTGTTTTTTGCCAATGCCTTCAGTGCAGCTTGGACCTCTTCCTTCGGTACCATTGGTTCCTAAGCATACGCTACCTCCTGAAATGGTTGAATGTCGATCGATTCTTTTTGGTATGGTGACTCTGTGTACTCCTTCCATCTTCTTTTGATGCTTCCTGAGTGTTCAATATTTTCCCCATAGAACCCTTCAATATTGCAGCTAGAGGCTTGAATTTTTTCTTCAGTTCTTTCAGCTTGAGAAATGCTGAGTGTGTTCTTCCCTTTTGGTTTTCTAACTCCAGGTTTTTGCACATGTCATTATTATACTTTATCTTCTTGAGCTGCCCTTTGAAATTTTCTCTTCAGCTCTTTTATATCAGCGTTTATTCCATTTGCTTTAGCTTTCTGACATTCAAGAGCAAGTTTCAGAGTCTCTTCTGATATCCATTTTGGTCTTTTCTTTCTTTCCTGTCTTTTTAATGACCTCTTGCTTTCTTCATGTATAATGTCCCTGACATGATTCCACAACTCATCTGGTCTTTGGTCATTAGTGTTTAATGCATCAAATCTATTCTCGAGATGGTCTCTAAATTCAGGTGGGATATACTCAAGGTTGTACTTTGGCCTTCGTGGACTTGTTCTGATTTTCTTCAGTTTCAACTTGAACTTGCATATGAGCAACTGATGGTCTGTTCCGCAGTCGGCACCTGGCCTTTTTCTGACTGATGATATTGAGCTTTTCCATCGTCTCTTTCCACAGATGTAGTCAATTTGATTCCTGTATATTCTATCTGGCAAGGTTCATGTGTATAATCCCCGTTTATGTTGTTGAAAAAAGGTATTTGCAATGAAGAAGTTGTTGGTTTTGCAAAATTTTATCATGCGATCTCCGGCATTGTTTCTATCACCAAAGCCATATTTTCCAACTACTGATCCTTCTTTTTTGTTTCCAACTTTCACATTCCAATCACCAGTAATTATCAATGTATCCTGATTGCATGTTTGATCAATTTCATACCGCAGAGGTTGGTAAAAATCTTCAACTTCTTCATCTTTGGCCCTAGCGGTTGGTGTGTAAATCTGAATAATAGTTGTATTAACTGGTCTTCCTTGTAGGTGTATGGACATTATCCTATCACTGACAGCAATTTACTTCAGGACAGACCTTGAAATGTTCTTTTTGATGATGAATGCGACACCATTCCTCTTCAAGCTGTCATTTCTGGCATAGTAGACCATATGACTGTCTGATTCAATGGCCAACTTCAGTCCATTTTAGCACATTAATGCCCAGGATCTTGACGTTTATGCGTCCCATTTTATTTTTGACGATTTCCAATTTTCCTAGATTCATACTTTGTACATACCACGTTCCGATTATCAGGATATTTGTAGCTGTTTCTTCTCAAGTTGAGTTGTGCCACATCAGCAAATGAAGGTCCTGAAAGCTTGACTCCATCCACGTTATTAAGGTCGGCTCTACTTTGAGGAAGCAGCTCTTCCATGGTGGTCTTTTGAGAACCTTCCAACCTGAGAGGCCTATGTTCTGGCACTGTATCAGACAATATACTGCTGCTATTCATAAGGTTTTCGCTGGCTAAATCTTTTCAGAAGTAGACTGCCAGGTTCTTCTTCCTAGTCCTCTTAGTCTGGAAGCTCAGCTGAAACCTGTCCGCCATGGGTGATCCTGCTGGTATTTGAACACTGGTGGCATAGCTTCCAGCATCACAGCAACACGCAAGTCCCGACAGTACAACAAATGGACAGACCAGGCACATGGGCATCTGTTTAGAGCTTTGGTCTTAATCTTGCCTCAAATACAGCTCCCAAACCCCTATTTCACCTTTGGGATTTGGGATTGTGATCATTAAGGTTGTGTTTCAACTTGGCTGGGCTATGATTCTCAGTGGTTTGGCACTTATAACATGGCTTGGCAGTCATATAATGATGTGATCACCTCCATGATAAGATTTGTTATAATGTGATCCCCTCCATGATGGGATCTGCTGTGAGTTCCAATCATTTCAAAGGGAGTTTCCTTGAAGGTATGGCCTGCATCCAATATGGGTGGACTTTCTGGCAAGGCTCATGGGCTTTTGCTGGCTCTGGATCCTGCAGCTGGCTCCTGTTTGTCTGACTTCCGATTCTCGGGCCTTGAGCTAGCAGCTTAACTGCTGTCTTGCCTGCCAATCTTGGGATTTGTCAGTCTTCACAGCTTGTGAGCTAGAGCCCTGCTGTCTGACTTGCCAACCTCAGGTTTGCCAGCCCCTGCGGCTATGTGAATCAGGAGAAGCCTCCAGCCTGACCCATGGACTTGGGACATTCCAGCCTCTATAACCACGTAATTTTCTTAATATAAATCTGTCTATATATATTTACATGCTTTGCTGGTTTTGCTTCTTTAGAGAAACCAGTCTAAGACATGGATCTCTGTATTTTGATCATCACCTGCCACAGAGCTCTTGCATCTTTCATCCCCTCTGCTTGGAATGTGTCCCCTTCTTTCCCTTCAGTTTCTCCTTTTCTTCTGGCAAACTAACTTAACAAAGCAGATCCTGGCTTCAAGGACCAGTTCCTTAATGAAACTTTTCTGTTCTACCCCACAAGACTTGGTCTCACAAAGCACTTAGTGTATCTCTTGCTTACAGCTCATTTTCTACATATTCTCCCTGCATGACATCACTGAGTAATTTATTCTTCAAAAAGCAGCCAAACAACCTTTAAAAAGCAGTAAAGAATCATATCAACCCCTTCTAAGAATCCATGTCATTACATCGCACTTAAATGAAATCTAACTCCTCACCTTGGTCTATGAGGTAGTGCATCACCTGGCCTTTCCTACCTTTCTGATCTCATTTTACTCCCCTCTCCACCCACCATGCTCCAGACACACTAGCCTTCTCTCTGCTTCTTAAAGAGGCCAAGCTTTTATCCTCTGACTTACAATTTCCTCTGTGTGGAATTTTCTTTTTTCAGATCTTTGAATGCCTGAGTCCTTCTCAACATTTAAGTCTCATCTCAAATATCAATTCCTATAGAGGCCTTCCTTAATCTCCTATTAAAAATAACTAATTCCCCACATAGTCCATCTCAATCCAACTACTCATTTATTTTTTCATAGTACATATTACTAGTTGAAATAATTTCATGTATTTACTGTTTTATGTTTATTATCTGTCTCCTGCCTATAGAATATAAGCTCTACTTTATTCTTTGCTATACCCCTAGCACATAGAATAGTGTCTAGTCTGCCATAGTAGATGTTCAAACACGTTTGTTGAATGGATGAACGATCATATTATATAATAGTTATTTGTGTATTTTTCTGTCTCCCCTGCCAGACTAAGTCAGTCTTGAGGCAGAGGCCTTGCCCTACTCATCTCTCTATCCTCAGCACTCAGGAGATGCCTAAAAAATGGTTGAGAGAGAGCAAGTGACTTGTTCCCACTCAAGTACCGAGTGGCAGAGCTGAAACACGTGTGAAAGTAGAACGGCCAAATCTTCAATTATCTCCTTCAAAGGCTAAGAATCTCCTCCCATTTTCCTTCACTCTCAGTCCAGGTCTAAAAGTCAATGCACACTGTGGCTAGCCCAGCCCTATCTAGCCCACACCCTCTTGTTAAATAAAGTCTTTTTGATACTTATCTCACTACCTTCTGCTCCACCCCAATTTCTGCCATAACCATCAGAGGCAATCCTATAGAGCCAATCCATTCAGCCATCACACCTCCAGTGACTCACCTCCACTCCAACTACCCACTGTCAAGGCCATTCTCTGGTTCTTGTTATCTCTGGAATGAATCCACTTCAGAATTTTAAATACCTTACTCTCTGATCTCAACCTCTCATCTTTCCAACTCTCTTGGGACTTATGCCTATTACAACTATTATATTACAAAGACCTTCAATATATCAAACTTTTAATTTCCCCCATCCTTCAGCCTTCTCTCAGCCTTGCTTGCTTCTTCACTCTACCCAGATCCAGTGGTTGATTATCTAAACTGTCCTCCTCCAGCTCACTGATTCCCTTATATAACTCCACACCCATTCTCCCTTTCAGCTCAGCACAAAACCTTAATTCTCAAACTGTCTTTTCTCACCCCACATCTAGGTAATTGAGAACCACAGAGGAAAACCATAGCTCTTGCAAACTGGAAAACTAATCTTGAAACATAGCTCGTTCCCTGGTGTTTCTTGCAAACCATTCTCTTTCCTTGATTGATTTTCTCCTCTCTTCTTTATGACTCATTCAATCTTTCAGCACTTCTAAGTCCTTCCCTATTCAGCCCCTTTTCCTTTCACTCTTGGCCATAATCAGTCTTTCCTCTAGTCTCAGAGAAGAAGGTGTGCCTCCTTCTGGCTTAAGACTGATCCACCTGTCTATACCGTTGACCCCTATTCCTGTGACTACTCCCACGGCCTTACTGTTTCCTCTTTCTTATATTCCTAGTTTCTTCCTTTTGGAAAGCTCAAGTCATTTGCTGACAAACATGCCCAATGTGCCCCTACTCTAAAAAGCCTTCTTTGACTTACAGTCTGCTCCAGTCACCATCTTTCTTTTTTCTCATCAGACTTCCACTGATGTCCCCACCTCTTGCAATGCTCTCACCACCCTCTACCACCAGTTAAGCTACTTCTGCTAAGACCACCAATTACCTACCAATTGCTGAATCCAAGATATTTCCTCAGTCCCAATTTTACCAAACCTTGGCTGTACTGAGCTCTGTACTCCTGGCCATGCAGGATCAAATTCTTTTGTTTTTCTCACATCTGACTGTTATTTTGTCTCCTTGGTGGATTCCTCTTCCTGTTTCCACCTCCTGAACTTTCTTGTTCCCCAGGACTCCATCTTTGGTTAACTGCTTTTCATTCTACACATATTCTTAGGAAGTAGGTGTCACTGAACTACCATCTATATGCTGATGAATCCCAAATACTTAACTGCAGCTCAGTACTCTTCCCGGAGTTTCAGACATGTGTAGCCACTGCCTGCTGGACAACACCTGCATAACCCAAGGGCTCCCTCCTCTTCCATCTCTTCTATGGTTCCTTCTTTCAGTGATGGCATCACCATCTATACATTCCCAATTCCCTTCTTCCTCACAATCCTCAACTCTGGCTAAATTTATCTTGTGAATAGTTTTCAAATCTATTTTCTCTTTTCCAAGCTTTCTACCACTGCCTTAATCTAGGCCTATATCACTTCTGGCCTGGTCCACTCTAGCAACCACCTAAGTGGTCTCTCTAGTCTTTTCCCTCCTCAAATCTATCCTCAACATGGTAGTCAATGAGCTACACACATGTTGATATCTTATCTCTAATTAAAAGCCTTCAGTAGCTTTGTATTGCCTACAAGATCAACTCCAAACTCTTTAACAAGCGTTTAAGGTCTTCTGTGATATAACCCCTGACCTTTCCAGGCTTTTCTAATTGAAGTCCCAGTATCACATTTTATGTTTTAGGAATACAAAACTCCATGTAATTCCTGGTACAATCTATGCTATTTCTTATCCCTTTGCCCTTGTTCATGCTATCGCCTCTCCTGGAAGACTCACTCTTCTCTACCACCCCTAAAGTAGCCATTCATATATTCATCCTTTCAGTCTCAAGCAATATGCCACTTCCTCAAGGAAGCTTTCCTTGAATACCAAGCTTGGGTTAGGTGTCCCTTTCTGCTGTTTTCATAATACTCAAAGCAAATCTCTTTCACTGACCTCAAGATATTGTTTTATAATTATCTGTTTAAGTGTTTGTCTTCTCCACAAGACTGTAAGCTCCTTGAGGACAGAAAGTGATTCATTTTTGCATCTCCATGCCCAACACAGGTGGTATTCAAATAAGTGACTAATGGATGAATGAATGAATCCTTCCCTGTCCCCTGGTTTTGGGTCCTCAGCAGTTAGTTTCCATCAGGGCTTCAAACAGGTCTGTTCTGGTTCAAACCCCTGCTGAGAATTTGCATTTCCACCCCAGATATACTGAATCAGAATCTACAGTTTGACAAGTTGCCCAAGTGATTCTTATGTATAATAAATTTTGAGAACCACTGCTCTACTAGTGGTTCTCAGAATTGGTCCCTAACCAGCAGCACTAGCATCATGGGGGGGTGGGGTGGGGGAGGGAACTTGTTAGAAATACAGATTCTTAGCAGGGGTTCGAACTGGAAGGAACCGGCTCAAGGCCCTGGTTTCCATCATTCCCAAGACAATCTAAGAGCTCTAATCACCTCCCAGGTGCCTGGCCAGGCACAGTGGTAAGTCTAGTCCCAGTTATACCAGCAGGCAGGGGACACGGAGCCAGGCCCCCTCTGGAAGCTCAGGAAGTAAGAGAAGGAGAGAGTGAGGGAGGAGAGGAGGACCAGAATTCTGGTAGCTTACCCCTGGAACACAGCCTGCGCACAGCTGAGGCAGTGCTCTGTGGGAGGCCACAGGATGGAAGCAAGGGCCGGTAAGCTGGGGCTCGAAGATTTTGGGAGGTGCTGACAACAAGGTTGTTGGGATTCAAGGCAGAGTCCATTGGATCTGAGTGTGGCTCCAGGGACCGGGACAGGCTATTCCCGAGGACAAAGGTGTCACCTGGAAAACAGTAAAACCAGAATTAGACTGGCCTGGGAAGAATGCCAGGGTGCTGGCTCCCAGGTACCTGTTTGGAAGCTCTGTAGAGCAAAGCAAGAAGCAGCAGGGCAGAGAGAGAAAACCCTGGGCTGGGACCCAGGAGACCTGTGTACCAGCCGTGGCTCTGGCTCTCACTAAGTGACCTCAGTGAAGTTCACTGCCACTCTCTGGACTTCAGTCTCCTTAGAGACTCTTCCTCTTAGACTAGATTTTTTTTTTTAAATTTTTTCCCATACAAAAATTTATACATACATTGTTATGTGACTCTAATTGCTCTCCCCATACTGTGACAGCACACTCCTCCTTTCCACCCGATTCCCCATGTCCATTCAACCAGCTCCTAACCCTGCCTTCCCATCTGACCTCCAGACAGAAGCTGCCCATTTAGTCTCTTGTATCTACTTGAGCTAAGAGGCACACTCCTCACGAGTATCACTTTATGTTCCACAGTCCAGTCCAATACCTGTCTGAAGAGTTGGCCTCGGAACTTGTTTTAGTTCTGGGCTGATAGAGAATCCAGGGGCCGTGCTTTCTGGGGTTCCTCCAGTCTCAGACTATTAAGTCTGGTCTTCTTACTAGAATTTGAGTTCTGCACCCTACCTTTCTCCTGCTCCATCCAGGACTCTCTGTTATGTTCCCTGTCAGGGCAATGATTGGTGGTAGCCTGGCACCATCTAGTTCTGGTCTCAGGCTGATGAAGTCTCTGGTTTATGTGGCCCTTTCTGTCTCTTGGGCCACTACTTTCCTTGTGTCTTTGGTATTCTTCATTCTCTTTTACTCCAGGTGGTTGGGACCAACTGATGTACCTTAGATGGCCGCTTGCAAGCTTTTAAGACCCCAGAAGCCACTCACCAAAGCAGGACGCAGAACATTTTCTTAATGAGCTTTGTTGTGCCAATTGACCTAGATGTTCCCTGGAAACATGGTTCCCAGACCCCAGCCTGTGCTACTCTGTCCCTCAAAGTGTTTGACTGTATTCTGGAAACTTCTTAGCTTTGGTTTAGTCCAGTTGTGCTGACTTCCCCTGTAGTGTGTGCTGTCCTTCCCTTCACCTAAGATAATTCCTATCTGCTATTAGACTAGATGGTCTTTGAGGTTTCTTCTGGTTGGGATGTCCCATGCTTTTCCTGGATAAGGAGAACCTTCAAAAAAATAAAATAAAATAATGGAGCTATTCTAGGATGGACGAGGCTGCCTTGGACACAAGATGCCAAAGCAGGCAACAGAGATGCTGGAGAAGAGATGCATTTGCTTAGATGAGGGTACTTTACAAGCTGACCATCTGCTCAACCAGCAGGACATCTCAGAAGTACTTCTTGATACGTGGCTAACTCCCTGTCCACATGGGATCTGCTCCACTTTTCCTCCCTCCTTTCGTATTTGCCCTGTTCTATAGAAACTTTCCAAGGAAGCTGGCTGGGGTTGTACAGGGGTGAGAACTTGGGCATAGAGACCAGAATGTGGGTTAGAATTTGACTCTACCACTCTGCAGGCAAGGTTCTTTTCTCAGAACCTCAGTCTCCTCACCTATAACATGGAAAGAATCACTTTCTTCCTAGGGGCTTGTAAATATCAAAAGAGAATGGCTATATGAATGCCTTTGTAAAGGGAATTTCATCTTGATGTTTCTACCCAGGCCATGACTCAATACCAGACAGCAGGCTCCAGTCACTGCACTACAGAACCTGCAGCAGACTCCCTCTCCTGATTGGGCTCTACCTAAACTGAGACAGTTCCTCAGAATGGCCACAGCTTTCTCTGCTTGTGAAGACCGGCTGTCCTGGGTGCTGAGCCATACCATTATCCTTTATGGTTTTTCTTAGAGATCGGGTGTTTAGATAATGTTTGGGATTCATTTAGGGCCTCTGATGAACCCAAAATTCAAGCACATGGTCTGGCACACAATAAGACTTCAGTGGCAAGATGGTTTAGGATTTTAGAACTACTTTCTAATACCTAAAATTGCTTGGCAACCACGAGCTCAAAGACAAATTTAGCATGAGACAGCTATTCATCTTTATCTCAGGGAATTTAATTGATGAAGCCCTTCCCTAGAAGTGGTTCTGAACAGAGACATCTTTAAGGCTCCAGACACCTTAACCATATCCTACTCCCTTTCTGCAGATGAGACTTCTGATTCCTATTTTCCAGGAGAGATGACTGCAGCAGTATCCCATTTTAAGAGATGAACAGGAACCAAACTGAGCTCTATACCTGGTCTCCTGCCTTTCATAGGTGTGGTGATCCCAGGCAAGTTACTTGTCCTCTCTCAGCATCAGTCTCCCAGCTTTAAGATGGGGAAAAATTTCTCCCCTGTCATATTGAGACCATCAAAATTAAAACTAAGCTATAGTGACAGAAAGCAGATCAGTGGTTTCCTGAAGATGGGAGAAGGATGGGGGGAGCACAGCAGCAGTGGGATGGAAAGATTACAGCAGGACTCGAGGAAACTTTCAGGGTGATAGATACACTCATTATCTTGACTGTTGTGATGGTTTCACAGGTGTATACATATATCAAAACTTATCAAATCGTGTTAAATATGTACAGTTTATTATATGACAATTATACCTCAATAAAGCTGTCCAAAAAAGAGAAACATTTTAGAGGCACAAACAATAGTATTTCCTGATGAATGTGGTAAATGAGAGAAGGGGAGAAATCAAGAATAATACTAACGTTTCTGCCTTAGCGGCAACGTGGACATACGTGTCTACCAAACTTCTTGAAAAAATTATCTCGCTCACAGTCTCTTTTTCTCTCTCAACCCACTCGCCCCTCAATCTGCCATCTGCTTCTATTACCACTCCACTAAAACTGCTCTCATCAAGGTTATCAGACTTTCAGGTTGCTAAATCTGAGGGATATTTCTTGGTCCTTATCCTACTTAATCTTTTGGCAGCAATCAACACTGTCTACTCCCTCCTTACTGAAATCCTCTGTTCCTCTGAAATATTTTGCATTTTCCTAGTTTTCTTCCTCTTCTCTATCTTTTTTTTCTCCTTTGTGGTCTTCTCTTCCTCTGCCTGACTCTTAGATGTTGTTACTCCTCAGGTTAATGTCCTAGGCTTTCTTTTCTTTTCTCTTTAAACATTCTTCCTGGGAAATCCCACTTACTCCCATGACTGTAATCACCAGCTACTGGTTGTAACTAATTTCCCTCCTGGTCTTGACTTCTAAATCCAACTTCACCTCAACTCGGATGCCTCACAGGCACCTCAAGCCTAACGTATCCAAAGCTGAACTCATCATCTCTCCAGTTGTCTCCCTCATCCCTGTGCCCCATCTCAGGAACTGAAAACAACACCTACCCAGTTTTCCCAAGCCAGAAATCTGGGCTTTCCGCATCCCCATATCCAACCCATTACCGGTCTTATAAGGAAGCCTGGTGGTGCAATGGTTAAGTGCTTGACTGCTAACTGAAAGACTGGTGGTTCAAACCCACCAGCAGCTCTGCAGGAGAAAAGAGCTAGTGATCTGCTCCTGTAAAGACTATAGTTTAGGAAACTACATAGGTTAGTTCTACCCTGTCATATAGGGTCACCAAGAGTCAGAATCAACTTGATGGCACACAACAACAACAATAACACCAGTCTTGTTGATCCTCCCTTCTAAACAGCTTTTGAAACTGTCCAATTTCCTCTATCGTCATACCACTGCTACTATTCTAGTCTGAGTCAAAATTATCACTTGTTTTTGTATAGGGAAGAAAACCACCCAACTACCCACCCTGTGAGCTCTACTGCCTACTATTCCTGTTTCCAGAGTTGGTGGGTAGGGATGGAAGTTCATCTGGAGTCCTCTCTAAGAATTAGGTCTGGGGCATGATAAACAAACACTTCCACAGCATTTGCTTTTGTTCTTTGAGTTGCTAAAAGTTTAGATCCGGGTTAGATGGTTCTCTCATTTACATAATTACATTAATGGTACTTTTGCTTATGAAAGGTAAGACCTAGGCATTATATAGGAGGAAGAAGCTGAGACAAAAGGAAATTAAATTATTTCGCCTAATAAATTAACAGAAATTTGGAATTTCCTGCTAACAGCTTGAAAATGAGATTTGGGATGGAGACAACAGATAAATCAGAAGAGAAAATGAATCGCCAACACCTAGGTCTCATTAGCAAAAGTGGACCTCAGAAAATGGCCGTGAGGCCTAAGGTGAAAGAGGTCAGTAAGGTAACAGGTGATAAATACCGAGACAAAACAAAAATGTTAAACTGCTTCTTGTTCTTTGTGGTAATTATCCTTCATTTCCCCCAAAACTTCAATAAAAGTCTATTAGACATAATGGCCTTATGTTGTTAGGTGCCACTGAGTCGGTTTCAACTCATAGCAACCCTATCTACAACAGAACGAAACACTGCCCAGTTCTGAGCCATCCTTTTGATCGTTGTTATGCTTGAGCCCATTGCTGCAGCCACTGTGTAAATCTATCTCATTGAGGGTCTTCCTCTTTTTCGCTGACCCTCTACTTTAGCAAGGATGATATCCTTCTCCAGGGACTAATCCCTCCTGATAATAAGTCCAAAGTATGTGAGATGTAGTCTCGCCATCCTTGCTTCTAAGGAGCATTCTGGTTGTACTTCTTCCAAGACAGATTTGTTCATTCTTTTGGCAGTCCATGGTATATTCAATATTCTTCTCCAACACCACAATTCAAATGTGTCAATTCTTTTTCTGTCTTCCTTATTCATTGTCCAGTTTTCACATGCATAGGAGGCAACTGAAAACACCATGGTTTGGGTCAGGCGAACCTTAGTCTTCAAGGTGACATCTTTGCTTTTCAACACTTTGAAAGAGGTCTTTTGAAGCAGATTTGCCCAATGCTATGCATTTTTTGATTTGACTGCTGCTTCCATGGGTGTTGACTGTGGATCCAAGTAAAATGAAATCCTTGACAACGTCAATCTTTTCCCCGTTTATCATGATGTTGCTTATTGGTCCAGTTGTGAGGATTT